TATAAACATGTATAATAATAGTTTAAGAGTTAAACTATAATATTGTGTCATAAGTTAAGCAATTAATTAGAATATAGACGTACAAACATTAAAGTTCCCACAAGGAATTCAGTTGGAAACGGATAGTAATGATTTTACACTAGGTTTTTATTTATTATCTATATTAATATTAAACAATCTTGCAATATTAATGGTACACCCTTGAAAGCGATTATGCTTTTACTTATTATGCATATAATAGTTAACATTAAACAATAAATTCACGAGTAAATAGTCTGGATATCCTGAAATGAAATGAAATGAAATGAAATGAAAAGTCATTTATTCAGTCTAGGCTGTTACAAGCACTTGTGAAGGTCAAGAAGCTACGCCATCGGTTCGCAAAACTACGGCGGGAGACCTTGTACTGAGAAGAACCGGCAAGAAACTCAGCAAGGGCTGCTTTTTTCTCCCTGTATTGATATATACAGAGTCGTCAAGTTGAAAAATGATTTCAGAGATACATCTGAAGTCACCTTCCATTACATTATTAAGGATATAGATATATAGTTACAATAAATTTTATATTTAGTATATAGGAAGCGGCATTAGATAGGTACCATATTACTGTTTCAAAAACTGACTCATACCCATCAAATAACAAATTACAAGAAACACTATGTCCATGCATTTCGATCATTTAGATAATCATTAACTTTATAATAGCCCTTATTCATAAGAGTATTCTTAATCTGAGATTTAAATTTGGTTAGTGGAAGCTCAATCAGATCTTGGGGAACTTTGTTAAACAATGCAATACTACATCCCAGAAATGAACCTCTTGATTTTTGGAGTCTGAAACATGGAACGGCAAGTTTGTTATTATATCTCGTGTTAAAGTTATGGGTTTGACTTTTTTTTGAAAATGCGTCATAGTTTTTTCTTACATATACTAAATTTTCATAAATGTATTGCGATGCCAGTGTTAAAATATTAATTTCTTTAAATTTTTCTCTAAGAGATTCTCTTGCCTTTAAATTATATATGGCGCGAACAGCTCTCTTTTGCAGTACGAAAATACTTTCTATATTAGCAGCTGAGCCCCACAACAAAAGGCCATATGACATAACGCTATGAAAGTAACCAAAGTAAACCAATCTTGCCGTTTCCACATCAGTTAGAAGTCTTATTTTTTTAACAGCAAAAGCCGCAGAGCTCAGTCTACTTGATAAGGCATCAATATGAGGATCCCATTGCAAATGCGAGTCTAAAGTAATACCCAGAAACTTTGTAGAATCCACTAACTCTACAGGCTGGTCATTTATTTTTAAACTAGTATTAACCTGCCTCACATTAGGTAAAGTAAATTTAACACATTTTGTTTTACTAGAGTTTAGTTTTAAATTATTTACCGTAAACCAGTGAAGGACTTCAGAGAGAGCACAATTTACTTCGTCATAACAATCATTTCCTCTCCTAGCTTTAAACACTAAAGAGGTGTCATCAGCAAATAGTACTGTCTCACACAAATCTCTTGTAAAGTGAGGAAGGTCATTAATATAAATAAGGAAAAGCAATGGGCCCAATATTGAACCCTGGGGCACGCCCATAGAAATGGGTGCTCCTGTAGACTCAGCTTGATTTATAACCACTTTCTGAATCCTAGCAGAAAGATAAGATTCCTTTTCCTTTTTGCACGAAACCACGGAACTACCCTCAAGTGTCATGGGACCTGCCGTGTTTGTTGTATTTTGTATACGTCTACGTATTATACGTTTGTAGAATTTTTTCATTAATTTTAATCTATCGCAAAAGCAAGGCAGTGTTTTTGTAATCAGTCAAACAACGATATTATATACCCTAGATACACCAACACGAACAAAATCGGACTCCAAACCTGTCCAAAAGGTACATTGAACGATCTACGGAGCTCCGTAAGACGATCACGTAGTCAAAATCAATATAAGGCATTATTTAAATATAGAAAGTAACCTTTAATACATACTGTATAAGGTCTTAAATAAAATGCATGCGACAAGGACTTCTGACAGTTCAAAATGCAAGCTCATAAAATTTTACGACTTATTGCTATATGCGGAAGAATTTAGACCTTAGTTCTTTGACTCTACGCGCAATTCTGAACGCGCTGTTAGCAATATAGCAGGCATGGACCGCGAGGAAAAGAGACGGCTATATGGCGACGTATAACCGACCATGCATTTGAGTATCACAAATATTTTATATTAAATTAGTTTATAGTAAGTATTAGATCAAAATTTGCTTCAAATGCGTTTAATTAACAAACATTGACAAGATACCTGTCGCAAAACGACACTTTTCGTACTTTACTTTCGCATCGTGACTTTGTAACGGTCCGCGTGTGACTGTGAACCAAGAAGTGCTTGAGTGGAGTTCAAGCACTTCTTGATTGGGATACATTTTGAGCGCTCGTGGTGTATCTAGGGTATTTAGTATCGTTGTCAGTCAACCCCGAAATCTCGCGGGATACCGAGTTCAATCCCCGGTCTGGTCAACTTACAAAATACAAAAAAAACCTTTACTTTATATTATTTTATTGTAGTTTTTTCTGATTCCTTTAATACAAAAGCTTCAATTAACTAATTTTGAATAGTAATATCTAGATATCGTCTGATATGTTTATTACAGTTTATTTCTTGCTCGTTAATCGCTTAATTTTGTAAAATATGTAAATAACTTGTTTTTTAATTCGTTTTAGTGCCGCCATCAATCGAAAAATTAAGCATTTTGTAATACGATTACGGCAGTGCTTTGGTAGGAAGATAAGCATATAAGCATGCGTTATTTAAATTATCTAACCTAATAGTTTTTAAAAAAATATTTACATGGAGCGTGCGCTCGCAAACTTGGTGAAAAACACATTTTAGTAGGTTTCACTTCTATCGCATGTGAACAGCACAAGGAAAAAACGGAAACCTTATAGAATCACTTTGTTGTCCGTCCGACCGTCCGTCTGTCAAGACCGTTTTTCCCAGAAACGCGTGGACGTCTCAAACTGAAATTCATATCTAATACTCAGGTCTCCTGTCCCTTGGAGCTGTGAAAAAAACAAACTTCTAAGCCAAAGTAAGCAATTAAACGATACAGCCGTTTATGCCGCAAATTTCCGCATATTTTCTAAACTCGCACAGAAATCAAAACCTACAGGGTACTTCCCGTGAACTTAGAATCTTGAAAGGTACGAAGTATCGTCTTATAGTACAGATAAAGGAAAAAATGCGAATACCGTAAATTTTTAGTTACATCATAATATAATAAAAATATTTTTAATTATTAAAATATATCTACAGGTTTGTACGGAACCCTCGGTGCGCGAGTCCGACTCGCACTTGGCCGGTTTTTTTCTTATTACTAACTGTAGGACAAAAATATAACATAAAAGGCATAGATTAATGATTGGTCTCGGTCAATCATTTATCTATGATAAAAGGTTAATGTGTTCTCTGCCCAAATGCAACATTATCCTACGAGAAAACAGGCATGTATCACTAGTCCGGCAAAAATAGTATATTTTTCGTTTTCCTTATTGTAACATAAGATACACTGGAAAAATCTGTTTTTTTTTCAAATTTAAATGCTTGCTGAAATGAATTTCACAGTTCCAAGAAGAAATCCACGTTATCCAATTTTGCCATTTACAAAACCTTTTTTCCGAACCAAGAGACGTAAAACGAAATATCCGATGCCATTGATATCTGTCACCTATCTCTCCCAGCGTTAAAAAAGAAAATTTGCGAAAACCGTAAATTTTTAGTTACATCATATAATAAAAAATATTTTATAATAATTATTAAAATATACCTACAGGTTTGTACGGAACCCTCGGTGCGCAAGTCCGACTCGCACTTGGCTGGTTTTTTTTTTCAGATCTTTGAATATATCTCTAGCCATACATAAATGATTGGGTCTCGCTTCACTCAACCGAGACCAATCATTCATCTGTCTCTAGCACACTATATTATGTTTATGAATGATCATAAAAAAGAGACTTTTTGTACTTGAAGGCCGCAGGAGGTTCATGTACCTAATATCCGTTGGAGATGACTATCCATGATGGTAGCAAAGGGCTTAAACGTGTTTGCCACAAAGAGCTTGTATTTCTGCAGTCAGTATGCAGTAGTTTGCGTGAGGTTCCTAACACCGAGAATACTGTCAAAACTGTCGAGACTCTGAATATAAAGCGTTTATTCCACCTGACTAAATTCAGACTTCCTAGTTAGGATCCTAAATAGAAAGTTAATTAGAAGCTTCTGATTACACTTGACTAATTTAGTAACTGATTCAGTCAGTTGCAAGAGCGCGGCGAATTCAGTCGGACTTTTTCGTAAGGGCTCCAGTCCTTACAAAGCAACAAAAATCGGTTTTTTCGTAGGCCTGGCCGTTGGCTCAATAAAAATAAAATAAAGTAAAATACGAAAATCGTGGGTGAATCATGTTACTCATAACTTCTTTTTTACCGCCGACATCGCGCACTTGCGTAATTCGTAATCGTAAAGAGAATAACGTCCTCACGTAGTGACAGCTGCGGTGCGACTGAAGCATCTAAACGCTATTACACCTTCCTAAATCGCGTTCTAATTAGGATACTAAATGATTTAGTCAGTCCGAAGCCACACTTCTTTGTGCTAAGTGCTATTTCACTTGACTGAATTAGTTACTGAATGATTTAAAACGTTTGAATTTAGTCAGGTGGAATAAGCGCTTAAGCGACGTCCGTTGACTGTGTAGCTCTAACTTTCCGCAGCACTAGTCGTTAAATTGAAGTTCACATTCAGTGGATTGTAAACTGTGGGTTGTGACGTGGATTTTAAACTGTGGATTGTGACTACTTAATAAATTCAATTACTGAAGTAAAACGAGTTTTCTCCCTCAGTACCTAGTGAAGTGAAGAGTGTAAGTGTAGTTCCGTTCGGCCGTTTTCGAAACCATTGCCATCGTTATAGAAAGCAATCATTTTGAAACTTTCTACAAGATCAGTTGGTCATGTTCTGAGTACAATAAAAAAACATTAAAGTACTTATTTTGAAATTATAATATCATTTTGCGATTCAGCGTCCAATTAAGCAGCGAAGTTTGGCGGAAGTCTGGGTTCCCGCATACCGCCTTTTTTTAAATAATTACTATACGTCCTGTAGACACTATCCCAAAAGTCAAATCGGATTTTAAAAGGAGGTTGTAATTCGAACTTGGGTGTATCGTTCAGCAATAAATGATACCGCTGTCTACCGGATTCTGGCCATGTAACTTCATTTCCATGACCTTTTGGACTGGGGTTTCTGAAATTAAACATTATAAATATATTATCAAAAAATAACCACCATCAAAACATTTAAGATACAAGGGAAGGTCCCAATGTTCATGAAATGGAGAGGAAGAGGGCTGAACTTAAACATGAAATTATTTTTCCTTTTTAATATATTCTTCCACAAGCCTGATAAGTTTTTCAGATTTTTTAAATAAGTTTATCGACAAAAATGTTTATCAAGTTCCTGAAAATGGGCAAAAATTGCAGACTTCATTTCTTAGTCCTCGGTTCAATTTTTCCTCAAAGGTCTTTCACCAGTTTTTAACAAATAATTATCAGGAGTTAAATCTTGGCATAAAGAGGATGGTTTAATGTTTCGAAGCCACATTTGTTTAGGGCAGCCATGGCAACATGATTCCTGTTGACGGGTGCATGATCGTGCAAGAGGAGTACACCTCGAGCCCATTTTCCCCTTCTTCACTAAAGGATAACGTCTTTTAGTTTTTGTAGCAGTGTGGCGTAGTATTCTCCTATTATATTGATTTATTTTTCTTTATTAGTAACTAATAAAATTCACTTTGAATCCAACAAATTGTTGCAATCATCTTTCTAACCGATTGTGTCACCTTAAACTTCTTAGGCGGTGCTACACGTTTTTTTATGCCACTGCATGTATATTTTTTGGACTCATGTTCATAGTGATGAACCCAAGTTTCATCTTTAGTAGCAATCCGGTTCATAAATTCAACTCTATTCTTTCTACAAAGGTTCAGAAATTGAAACACTCTACTCGCTGTTGCTTTTTTAAGAATTTTCGGCACTCGTCTTAATTCCTGTTTCACTTTACAAGGAGAAGTTTATGATTTTATTTATTTTTTAAGCATTTAACTACTAGATGTTTAAATCTAAAGAAAAGTTTACTAGAAAAAAAATCCACGCGGACCAGGCAGCGGACGGGACTCGAACCCGCATCCTTCGCTATCCGGGCGAATGCACTGACCATTATGCTACCACGGCCCTATTAGCCGCGTCGAAATTTTCCTAGCCTTTTTTTTTCTACTTTTTTGTCAATTTCTGAGGAGGTCGCTTCGATTGGCCGTTCCGAGCGCTGGTCATCTTTAATCGATCCTCATGCCACTGATTGATGATTCATCACAACAATGATACATAATCATTGTTACCAGGCCAAGAGTCCCTGTAAACAGATGACATCTTTTCTATAATGATCTTCAGTGATTTTTTCTGGCTTAGTGAGGAACTTAATCATTGTTTATCCTCCTCGGATCGCGTTTGCGTAAAGACGTCTGCACCGTGTTACTTAAAAACTTTTATAAATTAATTGTATAGCAAACCGCACAGCCTCGGCCTTTCCCCAAAGAGCCTCTCGCGGTAAATTTTCAGAACTTTACCGTTGCTAACTGCCTTGCGCGCACATCTAGCAACGGTACTAGCCGTTTCTGCCCGCGCGGTAGCTCGCTAGCAGTGCTCCCAATTTAGCGCTTTGGGCGCTAGATCTAGCGCTTTACGGGTGTGGTTAGGTTAGGTTAGTTAGGTGGGTACTGACTTTCAAAAATTTAGCGCATAGCGGACAATCTGACGTTTTTTTCATTTATTTCATGGCACCTCTATGTTAAATCTATATTACCATCATTTATGGTCCAGGGAAACCCCCTTAGTAAAATTTTCATTCAATGTTTGTTTTCATTTATTCATTGATGTTTCAGTTTAGAGCACAGCTAAGTTATTTGGTGAAAGTTGCAATGAAAGCGTGTAGTTTGTTAATATTTTCTTGTATTTGCCGTCTTTCCGCGAAGACTTTTTAATAATATGGACTCTTAACTCTGCTTGATTGCTTCCGTAGTGGAACTCTACGGAAGCAATCTGTGTTTATGCAGAGATACAAAACTGAGTGAGAAAAGTTCCCGAATATAAACAATGGCTGAAACCAGTACTTAGCAACGACATAAAAGGCAAGGTCCATATTTTGTAAAAAAGAGTTTTATGCACAAATTACCGATATTCAAAGACATTTTGATTGGGCAAATCATAAAAAATTACAAAACCTTTTTCAGATAAAAACCAAACATTAATTATGCCTGTGGTACAAAAACTCGACGAAAACTCCTGCCGGGAAGCTGAAGGAGCTCTTGCAATGTACGTTGCTGAACTCACGGCTTTACAAGCAATAGACCACCTCAGAGAATTATGTAAAAATATTTTTCTGATTCTAAAGCTACTTCAGAAATGAAAACGCATCGCATGAAATGCACCGCTGTATTACAAGAGGTCTTGGCATCCCTTTTCAAAAAACCTCTAAGAACAGATATCGACAGTCATTCATAGTTTAATAATTGACGCGTCTACTGATGTCTCTGTTCATAAATATCTTGGTATTGTCATAAAATATTTTAGCAACATGCAGAAAAAAATAGTTTCCACATTTTTAGGGCTCGTAGAACTGGAATCGGCCGATGCCGAAGGGATAGTGACTGCTATTACTGTTTTACTAGAAGAGTTCAACTTAGACTAAAGCAAGTTGATCGGAATCGGAACGGACAATGCCTCTGTAATGATTGAAGTAAACGCCTATAATATGTCCACAAAATATTACAAGAGCGGTATTCTTCACGCAATCTTGTACTGATTAGATGTTTCGGCCATTCTATTCAGTTGGCAGTTTCGCGCGCTTCTTGTTCCCTACCAAGGAACATAGAGTTTATGATTAGAGAAACTCAGAATTGGTTTAAATACTCAGGGAAACGTCAAGGCGAATACAAAAAAAACTATATGAAGCAATAAATTGTATAGAAGAATCGCTCAAGATTTTAAAGCTTGTGATACACGATAGCAATCAGTGGAAACCGCAGTTTAAAAATGTTTTTTAAGTACCTACTAAGATAAAATCCATAATTCATTAAAATGTTAAAGTACATAAATGAAATATTTAATTAATTATACTCACCCACATTTAATGAAGTTTGATAGATATGTTATGGTATTCTTTAACGTGTTCCTCGTTCTTTGATCGGTATCTTTGAGTAAAGGTCGGGTAACGTCAGTTACAAACATATACCCTATATAGTCTGCGTGAGCTGTGCCAGGAAATTCTATGTTGTATCTTATTTTAGCATAATTCAGACCACCATCGAAGTTGAAATTATAGTAATATACTGGTTTACTATCACTTTTTTGAGTGTGAATTCTTAGCCACAAATCGACATTACTTGCATATTGAGTATCCGATAATAATTTGAAGAAATTCGTTAACGTCCAGTCACTCAGATTTGTTCCTCCAAAGTACAAGTTACTGATGTCTGCCACCAATCTTTTGTAATTTTTTGAATTAATTGGATATTCAATATCGTATGGAATGCATAAACTAAAATTTTGCTTCAATTCTTGAATTGGTTTCTTTATTAATGATGGCCACATATAAATACCTTCTTCAGAATTAATACCAATTAATAAAGGTATATTCTGTGGGATGCCGGATTGAATTATATCCTTTGGATGCTTTGTCAAAACTGCATGACATGATTCACTCTCCTTACAAGGTACAAAAGGTGCAAATGGTTTCATGATGTTTCTGTTATTTTTATATAAGTTTTCTTGGGCTTCTACAATGTCGAATACATTGGTGTTTATGAAATTTTGCATCAAAGCTGGAATGTCGTCGGTTGGATAACCCAATGCTTTGGCTAGCGCTAACGCATGATGTTCGGGATAATTTGAGAAAAATCTATGGTTAGTAACACCACCGCTCATCAATATTGCTCGTTCAAAAAGGCCGGTCGATTTTTCAGTTAATAATAAATAATGAACTAATGCAGCACCTGAACTTTCTCCTCCAATAGTGATAGTTCTTCCACCAAATTTTTTGATATTATCTTTGGTCCATTTTAGAGCTAGGAGAACATCTTTTATTCCAGCATTACCAGGCGCTTCCACTCCCTTTTCTAATGCCTCTTCAGTATCAATCTGGAGAAATCCTAAGGCCCCGAGTCTAGAAGTAACGGTAATTTATTCTTAATAAAATTAATACTTCTTAGTTACCTATTAATTGCCAATTTTAACGGCTTAGAAAGGAATTTAAAGCCACAGTACCTGTAGTTTACAGAAACATATATAATCTGCTGTTCTAGAAAAAAATGTGGTCCATATTCGTCGATATTTCCTGCGTTAGATTTAAAAGCGCCGCCATGTATATAGAAAAACACTGGTCGCAACTTAGTTTCATTTGCGGCTGGCACTAAAATGTTAAGATGTAGACAGTCCTCGTTCATTTCTTCTCTTTTAAATTTGCCTTCAGCCTGTGGACACACTGGTCCTTTTTTTGTTGCATTCCATACCGTCGTTCGTGGTTTCTTGGGTACAGGAGGCTGAAATACGATATAGCTACATCTTTATATATATATAATTCTTCTGTGAGTGTGTATGTCACTGAACTTCTCTTATACGACTGGACCGATTTTGATGAAATTTTTTGTGTGTGTTCAAGGGGATCTGAGAATGATTTAGATTCACAATTTTGTCCGCTGGACAATGTTTTTTTAATTAATTTTTAATTTATTAGTAGTTGTTGATTTTGGAATGTTTTACATTGGATCCGACAGACGGCGCTACCATACTAGACAGGACAACGTCTGTCGGGTCCGCTAGTCTAATATATAAAATTCTCGTGTCGCGGTGTTTGTGGTTAAACTCCTCCGAAACGGCTCGACCGATTTTCGTGAAATTTTATATGCATATTCAATAGGTCTGAGAATCGGATGTAATCTTTTTTTCATCCCCCTAAATGTAATCCACACCTAAATTTTTTTTTCAATTTTAGATAAAATATATTTTTTTTAATTTTTTTATGATACATCATTCAAAACTACATACAACCCTAAATTTTCACCCTTCTACCACCAACCCCTATTTTTTTAAGTTCGCTGGGACAGCTAATAGTATATAAAAATGTTTAAATAAAGTTCAAAATCCGATATCTCTTCATCATCCGATATATCTTCCGATATCTCGTCTTAACCATTCGTATTGATTTTTGTACAAAAAAAAATATTCTTAAACCTACTGGATGTTAGTTTTGTTGTATGGATTATTTTTGGGTTTTTATTATAAAAGGAGACCTTACTCACACCAACAGGTAACTATAGTGGGATGCTGCTTGTTATTGGAGTGATTTTAATGTTTCACGAGCATGTTTTTACTTTATTTTACATACATTACATAACATTTATATTTTAATGTTAAAATAAATACGATTTATTTTATTGTATTTTTTTACCACAACATCGTGTATTTGGGTGAAACTTGTCTACTATCTATTTGAAGGAAAAAATACCTATAGTAAGTAAATACAACGTTATCTAAGCAAGACCTTGTGTTTTATTATATTATAATGATAAAGTTATAGGTTATTACCTTAAACCGAAGATGTCCTTCCGGGCTTTCTGCATATGGTATGCCTTGATATGCGTAATAAGACACACCCATATCATCTTCAACAAGTTTTCCCAACACAGGACCAGTACTTGTCACAATTATTGAACTCGTTGCCGAAGCAATTACGATACTCATTAATATTATTTTCAAATTCATAATAATTTCTAGTGTTATGTTCTTTCAATAAAAAGTACTTTCCTACTTTTGCACAAGATCTTATCTTATTATTATACTATGTATACTAGCACCAGATGTTTTGTGGCTATAGCTTGTTATAAACACTTATGACGTGACGCGTATTATTTATAAAATTACGTAGGTACATGTATTTTTTCGACTCTCAATAGTATCAACACTATCAACTATAGCTGAATGATAGATCGAGTATGTTTATCATTATCAGAAGTAGGTAAGAATTTTATTTTTGACGTGTGGCAATAATGCGGAGCGTGTTTAATGCTGCAAACAGGTTTTTTAGTTTACACAAGTTTCCACAAAATAGATATAGTAATTATACAGTTACTAATATCGATTATAACATGTAAGAATTTTAACATACACAATATCAATAAAGTCTAACTACAATTAGAGAGAAAATCAGGTTTCTTCACTAAATAAACAAAAAATCCTTCACAAAATAAAGTATAATAGATTTGCAGAGGTGAGAAACATCAACACTTAAATATTGTTACACACAATTTGAGGATAGCTTATTTTAGGAAACTTGTTTTAATTTAAGCTTGACTCCAATTTATCGACATCGCAATATCGATGAACTTGGGAATCGCTATGAGCACAACAAGGTGGATGGAATATTAGTAATAAAACTAGCAAACCAGTGAACCAAATGTTCACCAAAAAAAAAAAATGTATTTAATTAATTGAGAACTTCGGAGATTTTGTGTGGTTTCGTTTGAAATAGAAATCACGTGATTTCTCGAAAACCGGAAGTGCTACGTTACTCACATCCGGTTTGTAGTCTTATCAGACTATTCTTAACTTATAACTTAAACATTCTCTATATCTATCTCTTACGCTTTGGCCGCTGAAACAGCACCACGGACGGACGGACGGACTTGTCTATTAGATAAGAGATTAGGAACTAAAACATATATACGACAACAGAAATTACAATGTCGTAAGTAAAAAAATATAGGTATATATTCAGTACCTATGGATGATCAAATATGAATAAAAATGCCATAACACTTTGTTTTGAATCAAAATTTGATAAAGTGCTCTAAATAGTTTTAAATACTTTAAAAATTTAGTACTATTTTTTCAGTTTAAACTAATACCTACAATAAATGCACGTATAAAAGTTGATTAAGTAAGTAAATCCTCGAAATTTTGTACTGAGAAGAACCAGCAATGTCTTTTTTATACCTATCCCAAGTAACACACTAGTCCAAAATGCAGCTTGCCTTAAAGCTCCAATGTCTATGGTGGCGTAATTGAAATTCAGCTGAAATGATGACTTGATTCGTACGTTGTCCATAAATTACAATGAATTGAAATAAATTCGTCACCATCATAATCCAAGCCATAGTCCCAATATCATTAGGGGTTGACTACCTCGTATCCTTAAACGCCTTTCCTCTTTAGGTCATTTTTAATTGTAGGTCTGCTCGTCTCAGTAGATAGGAGCGACCCTTGCCTCAACTTTATGATTAAAAAACTTTTTAAAGAATAATACAAAATACTGAGAAAATAATTTATTTCTTACAAGTTAAAATTATTTTAAAGAAATAATTAAATAAACTTACATTATAACTAATTATAATTATTTACAATGTTTACAGAGTGCTTAAGATAAATTGATTAAAATACTCGCAAAAGGAGCTTTGTAGAGATCTTTAACGTTCCTCAATGAGCTTAATCGACGCTATATCCGTTATGAGTATATTATTTTTACACTTGCCACAGCTATAACGGAAATAATTAAGAATTTCCAGATACAATAAATAACATGTTATGTAGACTTAGAGGCTATTCGAGATTTTTTTAAATTTTAGATAAGTACAACTGATTTTCTTTCGTCTCGCTACGCAAAAAAGATTCACACAATGAAATAGTTTGATACCAGTTTTGGTGTTGTGGTATGTACTAGGACACAAGAAATGCGCTCATTTATTGTTAAACTGTAAAATTAATGGATATAGGTACCTACCTAATTAAATAAATATAAGAAAAATGCAATAAATAATTATAAACTTTTAGTTTAGTTTAGACATTACGGTCTAGATATTAAATAGTTTATTTGGAACCAAAGATTGAAAGCGAGGACTCAAAACCTAGTAGTATTGTTTGGAGTGAGCTCGTCATCATGTGATAAGTAACACGACCTCTACTTAAACTATGCCCATGCCTAAGGCGTATCCGAATCGCGTTTATGAAGACATTCATCTCTGACGACATCAATTTACATTTTTTTTTTCCAACCGTAATTAAAGACTGTGAAGTACGTAGCAACTACGTTACTCTACAATTAGTATCGTTTTAATACCGGGTTCAAACGAGGCGATTCAAATTGATCAACTGTTATCGTTCAATTGCTTTTCTTCAATTTAATTGTTTCATTTTGATTGAAAGTCTGTTCAGACGTTTCAAATCACATGCGATTCAGCAGTTGATCATCTAAAAGTACTAGCCCAGTCACCAACGACTTTATTGCAGGAATTTGACAAATACAATGTTTTAGCTTCTTTTTTTCATTACATGGCGAAATAAACTGTATATTATTTAAGTTTACCGCAGCTTTACCATGGCAATATTTTTGTCCGAAAAGTTTTGTTTTGCAAAATAATTCTGCGAGGTGCTTACAAAACGACTTTACTCCTAGTAAGCATTAAATATAGGTACATGTGATCTAATGTTAAGGTGTTCTGACATTATCAACCGAATATGTTGGAAACGAAACTATTGAAGGAGTTGGTGAGAGAGGCGATGATCCCGCCGGAGGACGCCTGCGGCGGCGGCCGGGGCGGCAGCGACACCGGCCGGTAGTAAGGCCCTCCGTCGATGCGCTGGAACATATGATGGTTCATTGAAACCTTTTTATCTGTAAAAGGTGGCAAGCAAACATCTCTGGAACATATGATAGTACGTTTAAATGTTTTATGTTGGTCGTAAAGGTGGCAAGGAAACATTATGACCGCCTGAGAGTAAGTAGCCGCTATACCCTGTTGAAACTTGCGATACTGAGTATCTATGATATGTAGATATGTATAGTACATATGAAATTTTAAAATGTAGAGTTTACTGTAGTATGAGTATCGTATGTAGAGTGTATATGATATGGTATGGTGGTATTAAATATATGTAATAGGAACTTCATGGCACAAGTAGATAGCGCGCTCGGCTTCGATCGTTGATGTAAAGCAACTTGCAGTGTTCGGTCATTGTATGGGTGATAAACTATTTAGTATCTCGAGCTCTTCCTTGCTTCGTAAGGCATGTTAAGCTTTTGATTCCAGCTACATCTGATCTGCAGTCGTTAGTATCCATCAATCCGCACTGGGCCCACGTGATGGGTCACGGCCCAAACTCCCTATTTCATCCACAGGGAAGGCCTGTGCCCCAGCAGTGGAGTCAGTAATAGGCTGATGTGATAATATCACTCGCGTGGGGCCTACCCGGAACCTACTACTTGTAGCTATATAGGCAAATTATGGAATGGAAACAACGTATTCTAGCTTATTAGGTGTTAAATGTGCGTAGTGGCATGAATGAGATAAGTTTGGATGGCTGAATACTTACGTGCCGTGCCGTACTATTTTGGTCGTGGTATGGGAATATGCATATTCCCTTACCCATGCAGAGAAAATTTTGTTGTAGATTTGTGTGTGTAAATAATTGAATAATTTCCTTAGTGGTGAATAATCTCAAAATGAATTATTTAATTTATTTGTAATGTCCTTAATTTAATTCAAGACGTATTAAATATTAAGCATATTCATATAATAATAGTAACATAGCATATATAGCATTGTCAATCGTGAAAAGATTGGTGTAAAACATGCAAAGGTATGGTTAAAGATTAAATTCGAACTCACTGCCTCACGTTGCCCTGTTATTACGCAGTTCAATTTTCTAGCTTTTACAATTAATAATGTAAGTTAAAATGGTCGGTACACTTACCTGAACTCAGTGGATACATGTTTTCTTTTAAGTTGGTTATTGGAATATCAATGCTTCTTTTGGAGGAATATACATATATATATAATATATTAATAAATATTTAATATAGATATGCCATTTATTACAAATAAATAAGTTCAGCAATTTATTACACTAAAATTTACTACAAAAATATGTTTGTACTTATTGGGATAGGTAATAAGTATTTGAACACAGTGTCTCTCGATCCCAGATCTATGTACAGTACCTACATACTTACATATTACAATTAAGCGTTTACTATTAATTTTTAATCATTTTGATATAGGTACAGTAAAAGCTCCTTATTCGCGGTTCCGTTTATCAGTGAGATTTTGTGTTCGTGGTAGAAAAAAAAATAGAGACCAGATCCTGCATTGACGGTCGGGAATTTCGATGTTCGTGTATATAGGTATACGTGTAACTACAATTGACTTACATACTGAAATGTTTTCATGTTATTTTGACTTTACCACTACTCAATCTCATGCATTTATCTGTAAATGCCAATAAAAGTAAGCTTCAGAAAACACATATAATAAATATTAAGATGTAAGCGCATAAAGTACCTACACAAGCGTGTCGCTCAAGAAATCTTTTACACCTAAGTATGGCCCTATTACCTTCCTTGCCACAAAGACTTTGATATTGTTACCTTCATTGTGCTTGGTCTGTTTCTGTTGGATAATTGTTATACGACAAGTCTTTCGAGTTAACAGCAAGCGCCGTCCTCACCGTGACCGTATAGGTTTGTCGAGTAAAATCAAATTAAAAAAAATATTCTTAAGCAGAAATAATGCGTTGCCGCAGAAAGTAAAAGTGGACATGCGGATCATCTTGGTGAGATTTTTGCATTAACAACACATTCCTTTGATGTTAATTGATTAATGTTTCGATCAATATAGAAATTACATAATTTTGTTTTCCTACATTGGAATATAACATTTCGATACAAATTTCCAAATATATTCACAGATTCGGTATTAGCGGCATAGTTTTGTAAATTATTACCGCGAATAAGCAGCTTTTACTTTATTCCAATGACAGAGTGATTATCTTAGACAAGTGTCAAATTTTCTATTTGTTAAACTGAACGCAAAAATATTTAAAAATAACAAAAACATCAAAAACTAGGTTATCCTTATACCTACATTATCAAGAAAATATATATATTGCACAAAATCGAAGACATTAACACGCTGGGGTAGGTTGATGAGAGTCCGGCTACAATCGCAAATTTTTTTCATCAATTACATACAGGCACTGCCAGACTGTGTGTTCTATGTATTCCGTTCAACATGAGATGGATCTGAAGCAACTTGTATGAAGTTTAACCTCCTTATTAATATTAGCTTAACTAGTTACGCCGTGTTTTTTTTCATATCACTCAAGTGCCATTTGTAATTAATAGAACAGAAAGAAAACATAGGAAACATAAAGTAACCACTCCAAGCTTATTCTTCGTTTATTAATAAGGGGGTAGGAGTAGGTATTAGGTTTTTAAAAATACATGATTTCGTTACACGATTTACTCAGCTGGATGTCAAGATAGACGTTCCGAATTTACGATCGAATAGTTTGCCACTTGTCTAAGTAATCAGTTAACAAATTAACAAAAAGCACTATTATAAAGGGAATGTTACTAAAGTGTATGATACAGGAATAGAGTAAGTAGTAATAGAATAGTTAACAACTTTGTTATTAGTTATCGGGGAAATGGATGCGTCCGCTTGTAATACTGGCTGTAGAGGCGGTGGTCAATGGGGTCGTGAGTACGGCGCGCGTGCGGGTAGTCGGGCCCACTCGGGGAGGCCTCCGCGTGGTGGCGCGACTCGGCACGTAACCCTATGGACCCATCACTCAACTCAACCACCGAGGCGTGCAAATGTTATAACTACATTCTACATAATAAAAAAAACGAGCGAGCCTTACAGTAGTCGCGTATGATGTGTAACATTGGAAACCTCACCTTATATTAGTAAAAAAAGAAATAAAACCTACGACAAAATAAATAAGCCATTTGAACATTATGTTCTAAAATCAAATCAAATAGCGCGCGCTTCCCAAACTTCCTGTTACACACTTCCGTCCCACTTCACGTAATCACTCCCACAAATTGCACGAAAGCGAGGGGAAAGATGTTACACATTAAAAACTTACATACATAAAAGAAACTTCGATAGTGGTGTTACTCACATTAAGCCGTATTTTGTATCTTTTACATATAGCATATAACTACATAAAACTTGTAGTTATATGCTATATAAAGAGTATATACATAGTTGCTAGAAAGAAGATATTTCTTAAATCAATCTTCCGAGTGGTGGTGGCGCGACTCGGCACGAAACCTTACGGACTCATAACTATACGTACTCAACCACCGGGCGTGCAAGTACTATTACTACATTCTACTTTGATTGTGGCGTTATTCACAAAGCAGTATATTCTTCCTTTCACTTAACATCCAAACAGAAACCTATGTTGTTTGTAAGTAGTTATGTGCAAAATATGGAGGCCAATTATCAGATATTTCTAAAATAAATCAGAGGGCTTACTACAAAAATAAAGCAATAACCAAACAAAAAACATTAGCTAATTTGTAGTTTATTAAGCTTCGGTCAACAATACTATAGATAACTTGATAACGGGTCAGCGCGTAAAATCCGTCTCGGTAAATATAGCCTCGCTTGAGGCGTGAGATCTTATTTTCAATTGGTTCGGTTCATGCACAGCCTTAGACATAGTAGTACGGCGGGCTGTTTCCGCAACTCGACACCTAGTGCCTATTTTGCGTGGGGATTGGCATTAGTCCTGCCATCCCAGCTCCTCCAGAAAGCTCAGCAGTCCCCGAATGTTGCTGCAGGCCTCTAGTATTGTCTTCGGGCTTCCCATTAGAGAAGTCCTTTGTCTTGCAACGCCCCTGCACTCCAGTAGGACATGGGCGCTCGTCTCATCCGCCTCCAGGCAGGCTCTGCACAGAGGGCTGTCAGAAATACCTATATTACAAAGGTGTTTGTTGAAGTAGCCGTGACCCATGAGTATACCCACGATTTGTTTCAGGGCTTGTCTAGGTAGTCTGATTAACTTACGTGTTAGCTGCAGGTTTACCTTAGGAACGGCTTCCCTAGCTTGCCTGCAGTCTGTGAGTTTTGACCAATAATCGTTGTGTTGTCGTTGAGAACGCTCCCTTATCCAGGTTCGCAGCTGCCGATAGGGTATGGGTATAATTGCTATTGCTATGCTGCTAGACCCCTCCCTAGCTAAGCAGTCCGCCGCATCGTTACCCCTTGAGCCGCTGTGTCCTTTAATCCACTGTAAGGTCAATCTATTGTCGTTAGCAATATTAGTCAACTTACTGTGGCATTCGTAAATTAAGCCTGATGTCATTATATTGTCGTCCAGTGCCTGTAGGACAGAAGCGCTGTCAGAGAGAATACGAATATGTTTTCTCTGATGATGCCCACACACTCAAGCTGTCGAGATGTGTATATTCAGGTCTTCGGAGAAGACACCCGAGCCTGTACCATAGTTGGTTTTTGAACCGTCTGTGTAGACCCTTAACTCCTTATGCAGACAACGGTCCGGGGTGTCTTCATAAAGTTGAATTTTGTATTTTTTGTCAAATACGTACGTCTTAGGAATAAGGTCGTTTACTGCTGCAAAGTACGGAAAGTGCCTGTGTATGTCTGCTAAGATGCTGGCGTGCGGGGAGTTGTTGTCTCTCCAAAGCCCCAGCATGCTTAGGCGCGTGGCTGTTCATGCAGCTTCCTGTTGTATAAACAAGTGGAGTGGTCTCACGTTAAGTATTGTCTCCAGTGCTGATGTGGGAGTGGTTTTCATGCAGCCGGTGATTGCACAGCATGCCCGCCTCTGGAGACGTCTTAACTTATTAATTGTCGTTACCTGGATTGTCTTGGTCCATAGCTGATGATGGGCCTAATTATGGTCGTGTACAGCCACTTAACAATGAGCGGTGATAGTCCCCAAGTTTTGCTAATCATTTTGCGACATTGCCAGAAAATGATGTTGGTCTTCGTTGTAGTTTTGTCTATGTGGGATCCCCAGTTCAGTTTGGAGTCTAGAGTTATTCCTAGATACTTTACCTCGTTGGAGAGTCTCAGTGTCGTGTTAAATAGTTTCGGTAGCCGATAGTCGCCTAATGATCTTTTGTTCGTGAACATGACCAATTCCGTCTTCACTGGGTTCACCTTAAGGCCGTAGTCGTCACACCATTTTTCAACCACCTTCATTGCCCCTCGCATAACATCACAGGCGGTGCTCGCAAACTTACCCGGAATTATGATTGAAAGGTCGTCCGCGTAGCCCACCGTGTGGAAGTGAAGGTTGTTTAGTTTGGTAATTAAGTCGTTTACAACTACATTCCATAGCAGAGGCGACAGTACTCCTCCTTGAGGGCATCCTTTAGTCGCCAATGCTCTGAGATGGTTGTCGTCTTGTAGTCTGATTAGTCTGTTACGGAGCATGTTACTTGCCCAGTATATAATGGTCTCATCGACTCCGTGTTTGCCAAGTGCGTCTACTTTGCTGGCGAAGCTTGTTTTGTCAAACGCGCCTTCTATGTCTATAAAGGTGCCCCGACATAGCTCTTTCCGTCTGAGACTATCCTCCATTTTACTTACGACTGCATGTAGTGCAGATTCTGTCGACTTGCCTGGACTATAGGCGTGTTGGTTCGGATGTAGTGGAACATTGACTAGTTGGTTGTCTCTCAGCTCTCTGTCGCACAGTCTTTCCAGGGTCTTTAGCAGAAATGATGAGAGACTTATTGGTCTGAAAGATTTCGCCTCGTTGTAGTCTGCCTTACCCGGTTTTGGTATGAAGATTACCTTGACTTCCCTCCAGAGCTTCGGGGTGTATCTAAATGCAAGACACGCTCTCAGGAGGGGCACCAGGATAAGGATTAGTGCTTCACCTGCCCATTGAAGCAGCGCCGGAAAGATGCCAGCTGGTCCGGCTGCCTTGAATGGTTGGAAGCTGTTAATGGCCCACCTTAACTTATCCAGCTAGTGTCATTCCAAGTATGTGTCGTGTGTATGATGCAGCCCGGAAAGTGGGTTTCAAGTAGTACCCTCTGTGCCTCCTCAGTTGTTTCTGTGAGGGAGCCATCAGCCTTCCGGAGCTGTGCTAGGTCTTGCTGCCTATCTTTAGATAGCAGTTTCCTTACCTTATTTGCCTTTGTGCATGAGTCTATTTCTGAACAAAATTTTCTCCAAGACCCATTGCTCCAATGTCGGATGCGCCTTTTGTAAAGTGCCTTGGCATCTTTGTACGCATCCCAGTCCTGGTCGTCACATGTATTCATGGCCCTGTTAAAAAGTCTTCTTACCTTTTTCCTCAGTTTTTCCAGCTCGGGACCCCACCAAGACTGGCTGGCACCCGAGCTGTCTGATAGCTTGAGATTATAACTCTTTATACACAGCCAATGGGTCGGTCGGTAAAAGGTCGTATGAACGAAATAACATTTCGTTATTTGTAACTTTATTCCTTTGTGACATGGTTGTTATTATGTTCAACTGTTTTAAAACTTTGTCTTTGTTATAATTGGGAATCGAATGCAGCTGTATAAGTTTATATACTCATGCGGACAGTTTTCAGCTTTGATTTTGTATGCAACCCGTTATCTATAGAATTGTTGATCGAAGTTATTAAAGAAGTTTTTTTATCTCGTTTCTAAAATATAAATATTTGAATGAAAAATTTCGTCTGAAAAACCTTTTATTAGGCCCTGAGGATGCAGTTATGTATGAGATAAATACGTTTTGACCACACGTTTTGACAATAGAATACCTAGGTATTTATTTTTTATTTAATTCATCATTTGATAAAAATTAAATAGGTACAATAAAAAAAAACTGAACTATACATTCCCACATACTGTTAATTAGTAAGAGCAGATCGGTAGGTACGCAATGGAAATCTAGGTAGTTGATACAGCACTTTTTTATTCCGTTACCACAAGTGCCATAGCTACTGCGAACCCAAAGCGTTAAACCATATCCAAGGATTTTTTTATTTAGAAGCTAATTCCTAAAAATTTACGCGATCCAAATTGACGTCTTGTATTAAATACAGTGTAAACTCTATATAACGACACTAAAGGGACTGTACATTTTATGGCGTTATAGAGAGTTGTCATTAAATGGAAAAATTATGAAAAGAAAAAGTAAATTTCAAGCTAGTAGTTATGTAAAAAAAGAAATCCTATTTGAACGCTGTTGCGTATATTCTGTTATTTTTGTCTGACGTCTTTTGCTCCACCAGTAATTTTGTTGTATTATATATTTTTTAATCATGGTCAACAACAGTCTACACGAGCAATCACAATTTGTAAACAAAAGAAAGAATTTCTTAGAAAGTTTGGTTGGCATGATCCCGACAGTCGAGTTGATTACGGGCTAGGATAATAAAGCGACAAAAGATCGTACACAGCTGCGCGATTTTCACTAATTTTGGCAACTTAACAGGTACTTTTTATTACTTAATTGTTGTCTTTATAGAGAGTGATGTAATGCTATATGAAGTGTATCGTTGTATGGAAAACAAACTAAACCAACCAAAGACGAGTTATTTCGACTCTTTTAGGGAGTTTGTCGTGAAATCAAGTGACGTTACATGGCATGGCACAAACAAGCATATGACGCTCCTGATGGTAAGCGACACCATAGCCTATATACACTTGCGATATCAAAAATATCACTAGCGCTATTCCTTACCCTGACTGAATCCCCTACCCCGTGGAGTCCTGGAACGTTACTCACCGACAGAAACACAACAGCACCAAACGGTTGTGTTAATGGCTGCAGCATTACAAATATTACTATGAAAACTCTAAAATTTCTTTATTTTATTTATGTAAGGACAGCAATTTGAATCGCGTTAAATAAAAGCATTGATGTGTCGGCCCGTAGGAGTAAGATAATAGAATTGTGAACCAATTACATGCTACCAACTTCTTTTAATACATCTTGTTACATAATTATATTTAAAATATTTACAGTATTTACAAATTAACAATTCATGTTCAACTTACCTTCGCAGAATGTAGCGTAACATTGAGTAAAGTCGGGTGTCTGTCTACCACGATGAATTCCACCTCCTGAGGCAAGTAACCGTCCGCGGACACCTGTAAACAAAATATAGTAAACAAATTTAAAAGTTTGTCTAACGTGGAATTAATATTTATACGAATAATTTAAATTCACGTAGAATTCAATAGAAAAAAACCTTTTTTGAAAAAATATTACTTATAATCTTTTTTGCATGAAAAGCTCATTATTAGGCCCTAGCTTGTTGTTATTTGGAATTATAGTGCGTTTTTCGCTTTACCCATCCACCTTAAGGAGAAGATGGAGTTTTTTGCCTATGTGAATAAATATCCATCTTTAGCAGCGCGTAACGAGAACGAGACGTCGAAATAAATATTACATATGAATAGGTTGGTCTTACGTCGAGGCGATACGTTCCGGGCAGCAGGATGCTTCCCGGAACCTATCGCCTCCCTACCCGCTGTCTTCTCCCCGTGTTTGGTAGTGTGGTAGAAGACATCGAAGTAAATATTATATAGCAACAGAATGGTCTAACGTCCACCCGGTCGGAGCCAGGCAGTAGGATGCGCCAGAACTCGCTATACTTGGTGGTGTGGTAGGAGTCGTCAAAGTAAACATTAAATACGAGTATAAATAGTACAGTCTTACGTCGAGCCGGTAGGTGCCGGGAAGAAGAATGCACCAGAACTCGCCGTACTTGATAGTGGGGTAGGAGTCGTCAAAGTAAATATTACATACGAGTATGAATAGCATAGTCTTCGAGCCGGTAGATGCCGGGCAGCAGGATGCACCTGTACTCGCCGTACTTGGTGCTGTGGTAGGAGTCGTCAAAGAAAATATTACATACGAGTATGAATAGTACAGTCTTACATCGAGCCGGTAGGTGCCGGGCAGTAGAATGCGCCAGAACTTGCCGTATTTGGTGGTGTGGTAGGTGATGTCGTAGTAAATATTACATACAAGTATGAATAGGATAGTCTTACTTAGAGCCGGTAGATGCCGGGCAGCATGATGCCCCTGAACTCTCTGTACTCGGTAGAGTGGTAGGAGTCGTCAAAGTAAATATTACATACGAGTGTGAATAGGATCGGCTTACTTAGAGCCGGTAGATGCCGGGCAGCATGATGCACCTAAACTCCCTGCACACGGTGGTGTGGTAGGCGTCGTCAATGTTAACGTCGTCGTTAATTACATACGAGTGTGAATAGGATAGTCTTACTTCGAGCAGGTAGGTGCCGGGAAGCAGGATACTTCAGAGCTAACCGTACTTGGTGGTGTGGTGAGACGTCGCAGTGAATATTACATACGAGTATGAATAGGATAGTCATATTTCGAACCGGTAGATGCCGGGCAGTAGAATGCGCCAGAACTATCCGTACTTGGTGGAGTGATAGGAGACGGTAAAGTTAATATTATATAGGAACAGGATGGTCTTACGTCGAGACGGTAGGTGCCAGGCAGCAGAATGCGCCAGAACTCGCCGTACTTGGTGGTGTGATAGGAGACGTCACGGCCGCGCACGCGCACCGCAGCTCTCTCCACGGGGTTGCCGTTCTCGTCCATCACGAACCCGTGCGCGCCGCGGTGAGCCTCCGCCAGGAATTTGATCAGCGACTTTTGCGAACACAAGAAAATCATCGTCAGCTTATTAATGTCACCTCTTGGTCACAGGCCTTTCCTGTGGTTGGAACATGGGGATGGGCCCATGACTCCTCACGCAGGCCCAGTGAGAATAAGTGGGTGCTTCCGAAGCATGGAGGAGCTCCAAATAATAAATATATGGTCACCCATTCGATGATCGGCCATTGCGAATGATGCTTAAATTCCACAATCGCAGACCGAATCGACCTAAGTGCAGATAAATAAGCAAACTAGTATATTGTTTTAATCTCTAATGACTATTATCATTAAAGTCATCTATGTGATAGCGTGATTGTTATCCTGTAGCTTGTTTTTTGTGAGACCCTGATGTTTCCGCACTGGTACAAGTGCTATGATCACGCAGTTATCAAGTAACTAATGGGTTCATGGTACTTGCAACAGTGCCGAAATATTGGGGACTTACAAAAACAAATTTACTTGGTAATAATCCCGCCTATTACATAAATAACACCACTATAAAGCAAACTTGTATTTTCTTAGGCCAGAAGTATTGAGAATGGGCACCTAATGGAAGCGGGGAGGGAGATTGAAATTGCTTAATGCATATCTATCGGCTGCAGAGTTATGTCAGACTCTTACTGACTAAACTAGACTAGACGACCTCCGTGGCCGAGTGGTTTGTACGCCGGGTTTCATGGTGTCGCCGACTCGAGAGGTCCTGGGTTCGAATCCCGGTGGGGGCAGATGTTTGTGTGATGAATACGAGCATTTGTACTCCAGTCATGGATGTTTAATATGTATTTCTATATAAATATACTTATATATGTACAATATATGTATTCTATCCGTTACCCTAGCATCCCATAACACAAGCCTTATAGTGCTTACTTTGGGGCTAGGCTAATTGGTGTGAGTGTTGGAAATATTAAAATATTAAAAAAAAAACTTCACTGAAGATGCTTATAGCCGGGAAGGCTTTTAAGGCGACATCAGAAGTAGCAAACTGGTTAACACTAGCTTATTTGGCACGATGCCCGCTGCTGGGGCGTAGATACCTGCATATATTGTTCGGGGAATAGATGTTATAAAATGTGACTAGCCCGTAATTCTCCAATCTAGGCTACGATACGACTCCTGCACGAATCGGTGAATAGGTGAGATTACGTATAAAACTAATTTATAGTTAATAATTATTGTATTATAAAAAACTTATGTTTAGATGCGTTTTTTAGTATTAAAAGCGTTTATTAGCTTTGATTTGAATGTAATCTTTACGTGAATAGACAGGCAATAGACGATCTAAAATGGTTGATTTATTAGACATATTAAAATACAACTACTAGTGATAGCGTTATCTGTGTATTATCACTATCTCAATGCTGATATCAGGCTACGTGAGTAAGATATTCTTGCGAGCATAATTCTATACTTAACTATTCGCAAAATAGACGCGTTCGTAACAAAAAAAAAACAAAATGTCGTATGTTCGGTGGTTAACGCTATTATTGTTGAGTTTCGCAATCGCATTAACAAATTCGCAGCGAGTTGCAGTCGCACATCTATCGACGGAAAACATTAACGGTACAGTTTTGTTTCGGGAGGTAGATGGAGGGGTTCAAGTCAGTGGAACTATTACGGGCATGCCGGCTGGTCTCTACGGTTTTCATGTGCACGAGTTAGGTGACACGAGTACATGTCTTGCGACTGGGGCGCACTTTAACCCCCACGGAAACAACCACGGCGGCCCTAACCACGATGTCCGTCACGTCGGTGATTTGGGCAACCTGCAGTTCGTCAGTTCTGGTTCAACGGGAAACAGCACATTTAACAACGTCGACCGAGCCATAGCTCTTCGCGGCGTCAACAACATCCTAGGTCGTGGTTTAGTTCTACACGAGCAGGAGGATGACCTCGGATTAGGAAACCACGAGGCTTCACTCACGACGGGTAACGCAGGTGCGCGGGTCGCTTGCGCTGTGATTGGCATGCATGCTCCGTTAGAAGCATGGAATAATTCGTCTGTGAAAGTGGGACCGTCAGTGTTGTTGTTTTTATGTATTGCGTTAGTGCGGTTCTGGAAATGACTAAGTATCCGATGATAAAGGAAGGGTCTAAATCCTAAATCCAACTGTAATTACAATCTATATAATAACATTTTTATGCGAATGTTCATGTAAGCTAAATAAATTATTGTAATAAAATAATGTGACTAAGTACTCAACTACTCAGCTGAACTGTTTTTTTTAAATTCATGATACAGCATTAATTTTGAAATGATTGCGATACCTTTTTCACAGTGATGAACATTTGTTTTCATCGGAGACAACATCTGTATACAGGTTATGTTGCAAGTTATAAAATTAATGTCTATTATTTTGGAATCTGGAGTCTAGGTTATTATGTCAATCATCATCTTAAAAGCTCTGTTCTTGAATACCTACTGCCAAACTATTTCAAATACAACAACAACAAATATCAAAATAAAATAATAATGAGGGTGTCTTAGTAACAAGAAGTGACAACAATTAATTATCTTTGTCTTGAGGAAATAAATAAAGTTATTACCTCCTACTTACTGGATTTAGCTATTTTTCTTTCTAATCTTACTTGATATTTTATCTTTAACATAAGTAACTTTTAATGAGATTCATTAGAAAGTATATAAATTCGAATCCATCAATTTAGACAAACGATACGAAATATAATGTCTGTGCGATAATATATTTTCAATCTAGGCGTCGTCAGATCAGCTAAGTAATTCCTCCTATTCCATATATCCCCACTGACATATCTTATAGTAGGGTATGGGATACTTGGGGTTTTTTTCCATTTATCGGGATCGGGTCAGTAGGGATATATGGAACTCTATTTTCCACATATCCCTACTGACCACAGTAGGGATAAGTTTTTAAGGGTTTTTTATTATTTATTTTTTTCTTTCTGACTAACTAGGTTTCCTAAATAATTTGTAGAATAAATAACACAGTCGCGATAACGATTTCAATACAAACAAACCCATGCTTTACCTACTCTTAAAAACATAACTTCATTAGAGTCAACTTAAAATTATACTTCCATACCGTTTTTTACCCTAACCTAACAAGTTCACCTGGGTGAACTCCGGACACTTGTCCTGACCCTTGGTTCACCTAGGTGGACCATGGATAAATTATCATTGAGGAATAAAATAAGCCTATGGTTTGTTTTCACCTTAATGTTCTCATTTTACTTTCCCATATAATAATAATTATTCGAAAAATGGACCAGGCAACCATACATGGCTTAGGCATTCTGGTTATAAAAATGAAAAGAAATAACGGCTTTTTTAATAACTGGTTCTGAATAAAATTTTTTTTTCACTGTTTCATAATAAGAACTTCTTAGCCATGTATGGTCTCCTGATACTTTTTCGGAGTAATGTTTTTATTTTTATGGAAAACTTAAATGAGAACTTATTTATAAAAAGATCATATAAAAATATATTGAAAACTTATCCCTACTGGTAGTGATAAATGAGGGAAAAAACTCCAAATGTCCCTACTAGTGAAGATAATATTATGTCATTAGGAATATATGGAACAGGGGAGTTATTCTATTTTTAAGGGTATCAATAATGTTAAATTATTTATATGTTTAAATACGTAATCTGTTAATATTAATTAAAGTTAATAAGCATTTTTATGTTACGTAAGTACTAAGAACGATATTCAACTGTACAATATAGTATCTTAATTTTTAAATCTCAAAATAACCTTGAAAACGATTAAATAAACCAATTTAATAGAACCATCTTTATAGAACGTGCGAATGAAGTGCTTCTTCCAAAAGTCACTGTATAGTTTTCTGTAGATGTAGTCAGAGACTGTGGTAGTCAGTAAAGCTACCAGTAACTCACGGGGTAAGAGAATAGACAGCGAAGACATTTTTACATTTTTGAATTATAGTCGTATACTTTTACAGAGGCATTACCTCCCGCGTACAATTATGCTGTGTAATAAGCTCCCTGTTAAGGTTTTCTCTAAGGAAACAACATGGGTTTCTTCAAAAGATGCATAAAGTGAACGTATATTAAGCTAGCAGACCATGGTCGCAACGCGCACATCTAACCTACTGGGTATTTAGTTGCTAATTAGTTGCTAATTAGTTACACTATTCCCAATTTAGTTGCTCAACACCTGTAAAAGATACATGCGATCTGCTAGCTTAAGTCTTAACCCAGCAGACCACAATACTGTATCTTCGGTTCTCGTAAAGATATCAAAGTTCTGCAAACGGCATATTTAGTTGCTAATTAGTTGCTAATTAGTTACACTATTCCCGATTTAGTTGCTCAACACCTGTAAAAGATACATGCGATCTGCTAGCTTAAGTCTTAACCTAGCAGACCACAATACTGTATCTTCGGTTCTCGTAAAGATATCGAAGTTCTGCAAACGGCATATTTAGTTGCTAATTAGTTGCTAATTAGTTACGCTATTCCCGATTTAGTTGCTCAACACCTGTAAAAGATACATGCGATCTGCTAGCTTAAGTCTTAACCTAGCAGACCACAATACTGTATCTTCGGTTCTCGTAAAGATATCAAAGTTCTGCAAACGGCATATTTAGTTGCTAATTAGTTGCTAATTAGTTACACTATTCCCGATTTAGTTGCTCAACACCTGTAAAAGATACATGCGATCTGCTAGCTTAAGTCTTAACCTAGCAGACCACAATACTGTATCTTCGGTTCTCGTAAAGATATCGAAGTTCTGCAAACGGCATATTTAGTTGCTAATTAGTTGCTGTAGGACAGCATTATTTGTTTTATCCCCCCATCATCCCTTAATTGCCGTACCAGCACCCACACTACCCCCGAAATACGAAAATTTTAAAAAGGGCTCATCAGAGAATATAAACTACGGCGTATTTCGTTGCTTATTAGTTGCTGCAAAATAGCGTTGCTTATAGTATTTAACTATCAACCCTTAACTGCAAATCAGCACTGCAACCACCCCCGAATAGGACGATATCGGAAAATTCTCGTAGGTGGAAAAAGACGCGGCGTATTTAGTTGCTAATTAGTTGTTTGCCAAAAACGCAGTTAAGAGTATTCTACAATCATCCCCTAACCTCAGATGCAACCCCTCTACTCACTTAGAAACAGTAGATGGTTAAAATTCGCACGCAGTTGTTTAAGACTGCTGGATGTTTTGTTGTTAATTAGTTGCTAAAAAATAGCGTTGCTTATAATATTTGATTATTAACCCTTAACTCCAGATCATCCCTGCAACCACCCCAGAATAGAACGATATCGGAAAATTCTCGTAGGTGGAAAATAGACGCGGCATATTTAGTTGTTAATTAGTTGCTCGCCAAAAACGCAGTTAAGAGTATTCTACAAACATCCCCTAACCTCAGATGCAACCCCTCTACTCACTTAGAAACAGTAGATGGTTGGAATTCGCACGCGGATGTTTAAAACTGCTGGATGTTCTGTTGCTAATTAGTTGCTCGCCATAAACGCAGATAAGAGTATCCTACAATCAGCGCCTAACCTCAGATCCATCCCCTCTACTCACTTAAAAATAGTAGATGGTTCGAATTCAAACGCAGATGTTTAGAACTGCTGGATATTTTGTTGCTAATTATTTGCTGCGAAAAAGCGTTGCTTATAGTATTTAACTATCAACCCTTAACTCCAGATCAGCACTGCAACCACCCCAGAATAGGACAATATCGGAAAATTCTCGTAGGTGGAAAAAAGACGCGGGATATTTAGTTGCTAATTAGTTGCTCGCCAAAACCGCAATTAAGAGTATTCTACAATCATCCCCTAACCTTAGATCCAACCCCTCTACTCACTTAGAAACAGTAGATGGTTGGAATTCGCACGCAGATGTTTAAAACTGCTGGATATTTTGTTGCTAATTAGTTGCAGAAAAATAGCGTTGCTTATAATATTTGATTATCAACCCTTAACTCCAAATCATCCCAGCTGCCACCCTTATGGGTACAAAAAATGCGGGATATTTTTCTACAATCGTCTCTTCACCTCAGATCGACCATCATTTTCTCTTTACAATAAAAAATCGGCCAGAATACGCTCGTAGATGTATATTACTGCAGAATATCGTATTGCTAATTAGCAACTAAATATCCCGCCGCTTTTTTCCACCTACGAGAATTTTCCGATATCGTCCTATTCTGGGGTGGTTACAGTGCTGATTTGGATTTAAGGGTTGATAGTTAAATACTATAAGCAACGCTATTTTGAAGCAACTAATTAGCAACAAAATATCCAGCAGTTTTAAACATCTGCGTGTGAATTCGAACCATCTACTATTTTTAGTGAGTAGAGGGGGTGGATCTGAGGTTAGGGGATGATTGTAGGATACTCTCATCTGCGTTTTTGGCGAGCAACTAATTAGCAACAGAACATCCAGCAGTCTTAAACATCTGCGTGCGAATTTTAACCATCTACTGTTTCTAAGTGAGTAGAGGGGTTGCATCTGAGGTTAGGGGATGTTTGTAGAATACTCTTAATTGCGGTTTTGGCGAGCAACTAATTAGCAACTAAATATGCCGCGTCTATTTTCCACCTACGAGAATTTTCCGATATCGTCCTATTCTGGGGTGGTTGCAGAGATGATCTGGAGTTAAGGGTTGATAATGAAATATTATAAGCAACGCTATTTTTCAGCAACTAATTAACAACAAAACATCCAGCAATCTTAAACATCTGCGTGCGAATTTTAACCATCTACTGTTTCTAAGTGAGTAGAGGGGTTGCATCTGAGGTTAGGGGATGATTGTAGAATACTCTTAACTGCGTTTTTGGTAAACAACTAATTAGCAACTAAATATGCCGCGTCTTTTTCCACCTACGAGAATTTTCCGATATCGTCCTATTCGGGGTTGGTTGCAGTGCTGATTTGGAGTTAAGGGTTAATAGTTAAATACTATAAGCAACTCTATTTTGCAGCAACTAATTAGCAACGAAATATGCCGTAGTTTATATTCTCTGATGAGCTCTTTTTAATTTTATCGTATTTCGGGGGTAGTGTGGGTGCTGGTGCGGCAATTAAGGGATGATGGGGGGATAAAACAAATAATGCTGTACTACAGCAACTAATTAGGAACTCAATATGACGTTTGCAGAACTTCGATATCTTTACGAGAACCGAAGATATAGTATTGTGGTCTGCTAGGTTAAGACTTAAGCTAGCAGATCGCATGTATCTTTTACAGGTGTTGAGCAACTAAATCGGGAATAGTGTAACTAATTAGCAACTAATTAGCAACTAAATACCCAGTAGGTTAGATGTGCGCGTTGCGACCATGGTCTACTAGCTTAATATACGTATAAAGTGATTATAAGGCAACACGCGTTTAAGCTACTGATGTTAAAGGCTTCCATAGGCCGCTTGCCAAAGGTAATCCCAATAAATCTTTAAACTTAATCAAAATAGGTTCACATGAATTGAGACAAAGTTTATGCGAGGAATGAAAATGATATTTATCAAAATAATTTATATTTATACACACCTCCTTGTTGTCTAGCCAGTACTTGGGCAACTCATGGGCTGGCGGGTATTTGCAGCACGAAATCTCAAGTGTGATCTCCATGCATCCATGCCACAAGTAGTTGTAGTCTTGCATACCACCTTTAAAAGAAAAACTGTAATAACATTATGCATTTTTGGAACAGCTCACAAATATAAAGGTAACACTGTGTACCACAAAACTGTTATCTAGTATGTGGTGTTAAAGATTTCAAAGGTTGGAATATGGGTCAGGATGGATATTACAAGCGTCTGTAGTGGGGGAGACCAAACGGGGATTTTGTGATATACTCGAGCGCGGCAAATAACACAAGGGAAATTAGCAGATCATTTCGTTAATTGACCTTTTTAGAGGAAAAACGCTAGAACTATTTTTAAAAAGTATCAGGAACTATAGAACTCAGTGCATGCGAACGGAGCTGACATTTAATTTTGATCTGCTGGACAATGTTCTGCTAAGTTTACCCACATGTAACCTTGCACTTTACCTTACCTGAGTCCTTTATATGGATCGATCGTCTTGGGTAGCAAAAATAATCTACAAAGGGCTTTTAACTTTTGGTCGCGTCTGAATCGTCAATCTTTTGAATAGGAGCTACCGGAGGGTTCACGTAACATCAGTTAATCTTACTAATTCTCAATGTCCCACGCGCTCGATTTTTTGTCCAATTTTTTAATCCCTTTCGTCGGGACACCTCCACACCATGCAAACCAGCAGATTAATATTATTTCCGTCATCAGCAACCTCACGTACTATAAGGCCTCTATATCTACTATAGGCTATGACAGCCGCGTACAATCAGGCCACACTACTTATATATAGAGAATAGACTGAGCAATCTGAATGAATTAGACCAGTTGACAGGAAAAGAGAAAGTGATGGTGCGGCAGGCGGCATATATATCTATGGGAACCACCGCACCAGGAGCACGATAGCTTCGACTAACTTGCACTTTTCTGCGTATAATATTTACTTTACAGCATCATGAATAAAAACTACAGGGAAAGGAACGCTCAGTTCATTTCCTACGTCAGAATAACAACCAAGCTCAATGAATTCAGTATGTCTTAAAATGTCTGTGTGTTGGACGACATTCAACCTTAAAATTGGGTTTCAAATAAAGTTCTTTACTGCACCTGTAAGGGGGGATACCAGACTGCGCAATTGGTGATGCCGTCCTCGAACCGTAGCGAGCCGGACTTGTAGGAGACACCACGCGCCATTTCGGGTGGTTGCACGAGTACACGAGCGATGGGTGGCTCAACAAGGTTCAGGTTCAGCCTTAGCTAGGTCCCAAATGAGAGCACCTGACTGTTTCTATGAGGGGATACCAGGCCGCACCCTTGGTGATGCCATTCTCAAACCGCGGCGAGCCGGACTTGCAGGAGACGCCGCGCGCCATTTCGGCGTGGTTGCGCAAGTACAAGAGGTACAGGTGGTTCCCAAGAAAAGCACCTGACTATAAGTACCTGTGAGGGGATACCAGGCTGCGCCATTGGTGATGCCGTTCTCGAACCGCGGCGAGCCGGACTTGCAGGAGACGCCGCGCGCCATCTTGGCGTGGTTGCGCGAGTACGTGAGTGACAGGTGGCGGAATACGTCGTCGTCGGGCGCGATGGACGGCGTATGCGCGTAGCTTTGGAACACTGCATTCAGGGGATATGTGGGATGAAAAACAAATGCTATAAGTAACAATTTATGCTATAAGAAACATACTTCATTGCACGGGCGTAGTTAGGGGGAGGGTTTTGCCCCCCCCCCCCCCCCGCATTTGATTTTAGAACATAATGTCCAAATGGCTTATTCCTTTTGTAAGTAGGTTTAATTTCTTTTTTTACTTATATAGGCTCGCTCGTTTTTTACACTAATAATGTATTTTAGATATGCCCTTTACTCTTGGCTCTCATGAATATTCACTATGGGATAGAAATTGATGCGAATGAAGAAGTGGATATATTTAAAAAGAAAAACAAAAGATTAATTATGTAGTGCATATGTAATCAAATGAACCTTCTGTTTCTTTTTTTTACATATTTTTCATTTAATTCCATTCAATTCATTTATTGCAGACCATAATGGAGATACAAAGGTGGTAATTTTAACAGATAAAAAGTGTGACCCTGTAGGGTATCGCAATTGGAGAAGAGGACGTCTAATTCATAATTCCTTATTGTGATATAATTTTTTATATCCAATGAATTAAAATCCATAAAAAATATCTATTTATACTACTCCAATAAGATATTATCTAATGAGATTTATGATTTATGTACGATTATTAAGGATGTCATATTTTTGGAAGTAAGGTTTTAATATAAAGGTTGTTGCATGCACTTTCGTAAATATCTTATTTCGTGGTTTCGATGAATTTTCAAATTAACCAATAGGACGAAACCAAATAGCTGTACCTAGTTACCAACCTACATACACAATTTATTATACGCCCAATTTCATATAGCTAGAGTATGTTTGATACTCATATTGTGGTTTAAAAGAACTTTCGGGCGCAGGTAAGCTTAGCTTAATAGATGAAAAACTGATAGCTTTGGAACACTGCGCCTGAAACTCACGCGGACAGAATTGCGCAACTAATTAGCTATATGAGTACTCTATTACACTCTTTTGCAAAAAAAGGGGTGCATCTAAGAAAACTTACGTTCTATGGTCGGTTTCCGTAAATTAAAAGAAATTTAATTGTTTGACGTAGTGCATATACTTATAATCATGTAAATTAAAACGTGTTAAGTGAATTTTGGCAGTACACGGCCAAACAGTAACAAATAAAGTTACAAATGTAAAAACCGAAATAACGAGTGTGGAGGTCACACTCGTTATTTCGGTCTTGCCAAAATCATTGCATGAATCCCTCTGGGCATGATTTCCACCTTTCCACAAAATTTTTAATAACTTTTTGAGGTATAGGTACGTTCCTACTCTTCTGCAATGACTCTTTTTAGCTCCCTGATGTTTTGTGGAGCGGGTTGCACTGATCTTAACCGTCTCTTTAAAACATCCCAGACATGCTCTATTGGATTGAGGACAGGACTTCGAGCTGGCCAATCTAAACGACGGATCCTAACTTCTTGCATGTACGCTTCCACGTCGCTAGAACGGTTCGGCCGAGCATTGCCGACCATAAAAACGGAATCTTCCTTTAATGTAGTCAATGCGGGTTTTGCATATAGAATTAGGACTTCTGTTATGTACAGGTGTGCATTTAATGTTCTATTTTCTATGAAAACTAACTCCGTACGCTCCGTCGAATTAATTGCTGTCCCATTAGGAGTAATTTCTTCGAAATAGACTTCCGCATAGCGTTCCCGTGGACTTCGCAGCACTCGCCGTCGTCGATTCTCTCCACGCAAAGAGCTTCTAGCTTCATAAGAGAACAATACTTATTCCAGTCCTCCAGAGTCCATGAAGCAAGTTTCAAGCCGTTGCTGTTTGCAAACAACCTTCTTCAAGTTGGGCTAAATTTTACCGGCCCTTATCGCTTTATCACTCAGAAAGTGGTATTTAATGTAAAAAGAAAGATTGCAGAAAATATCCAAAAAGTTTCAAAAGTTTAGTAATCAGTAAAGATTCGTTCTAGCAATTCGCGCTATTAGTAAAGCAATTTTACAATCATCCACAATAATCATTATTTTTCTATTGTTAATTTCAAAATTTTAATTTAAATCGTAAAGAATCATACCTAGTTGCTTAAAATAACATGCCTACACATCGTCAAATAAATAAATCTCTTTTTTAGATATTCATTGAAGTAGAGAAAAATAACTTTAGTGCCCGTTTTTTTACAAGAGTTAATACTAATAAATACTTCACCTGAACACAGAACGGATGACCTGCATATTCCTGTTAGTCAGCGTGAAACAACAATGTGTTTTTTAATTGAAGGACGAAACTCTAAAATAGAGAACTTTTCTATATCGATAGCGTAGTCTGCGTAAGTAACTTAACTTCCACAAAGGCCAGTCATAGGATAGATTATTCAAAATTATTTTTAGTGAATTATTCCATCCTTTAGCATTTAGTTTCGATGTGTTTTCCAGTCATTAGAACACACCTAATCGTACTGGGACAGTGTGGTCGGTTATGGACTTTTCTTTTAGACAGAATGCCACTGTCAAGAGAGCGATTGAAATAACAAAACATAAAAAATTCAATCGTGAGGATGGGTTTATATTATCGAGTGTCTGCAATCCTGTGGTTCGTATGTGTAATAACCAGAATTATCAAAAAAGTGTCGTGTTGCTATCCAAAAAGTGATACTGTGAGTGTTGTGTGTCGAGAACAGTTTTGAGTTATTAGTGAGAATGTGAACAGTGGTACGGGTATCGAACGCAATAAATTACTTCGTCGGAGGGTAGACCGATATGTGTGCCAATAGCAGCCCATCCGTGATCTTTGCGCTTACAACAGTGCCAAAATATCGGAAACTAGCTAAAAAATAGGTACATGGTAACAATCCCGCAAATAACATAAATTACTATAGTGTTAGTAACCATGAAAGTTTAAAACAATAAATTATTATTTGCTCCATGTCTAAAGAGTCGTTGCTTGTGCGTTGAAGCACGATGAAGTTTTACTTCTACTGTGTGTCCCAGCCCAGCACACATTTCGATTTTTTATTCTAGCCCAAAAGTATTTTTTTATGAAAATTCTCAAATTGGTGGTGGGCAATGCCTCACTCATGTTGTCAAGACTGGCCATGCAAGTTCCATTGATACCTACTAGCGCTAGGCGTGTTATCAAACGGGTAGGAGGCTACGAGCGCGCCGCCATGCAGCGAGCCAGACACCACGAACTGTATCTTGCTGATCCACTCCTTCACCGCCTCCGTCTCCGGCTGCGGCTGCTTCGTGTTGGCCTTGAAGTAGTCCGGGAAGTTGCGGTTCAGGTCGTACCGGCGGGCGTTGTGTCTGAACATATTTACAACTAAACTTTTAGGTATACATCCCAGAAAAGTTCTTGAGCAACTACCATATCTTAATTATTTTCTGCAATAATAAAAACCAGGTTCGTGCTAGACATACATTGGTAAAACTAGCGTCTATAATTTTTTTAAGGTAAGTACCATAAGATGCCCAACCCATATGATTTGTACTTATTTTTTTAAGCTTTATATCTAACACTACACTCACATGCCCGCCAGGCGTTGTGTGTCACACAGACTTTACAGCCAATTTGTTGCAGCTACAGTTTTTGTTTTTTGTTGTTGTTAACTTTACTTGTACGTTTTGTTTTACTTTATGTTAAATGTATTTTTTGTATTTTTATATGTTGTCAGCAATAAAAACATTTTTCTTTCTTTCTTTTAAAATTTTCAAAATACTTATTATATATTATAAACTAACCCATATGTATGAGAAATTAAGGCGGCCGCAAAAATAAGGATTTTATTTTTAACTCGTGGATCAGATTAAAATTGTATTTTTATCTTTACAAATTATTGGAACCTAAAGAATGAAAAGCCACAAACACGTTCTTTTACCAAATTCGTTTTCCTAAGTTTTTTTACTTACGACTGAAATTTAAAATAAGAAACGAACTTGAACTTTGATTATACTAAATGATACTTTACTCTGCAATGTATTGATAAATAAGATTTCTTAATGTGCGTTGCTACGGAACCCTTAATGTGCGCTTTGTTATTGTACGTGAAACTATCATACCTAATGCCTATCGGTGTTTATTACCTTGACACCATAAAGGGTGTTATGCAATATAGCATTAGTACCGGAATCACATCATTTGCAATACAATTTAGCTTTCCAGTTATTAGAGATTTAATGTGTGAACTATTTCATGCGTGAAATTTACCTGCCATGTATGGTGTCACACTGTCCCTCTTTCGAAATTGCATAACCATCGGGGTTCATGGAAGGCATTAAGTGGATTCTAGTGTTGTCCAGCAGCCACTTTATGTACGAATCTGTTTCATATGATGTCACTAGGTGCTGAAATAATAAAATGACCGGAAATATATCACCCGTTAAATATCTTAAAAGAAAAATAATAGTGTGGTTGTGGTTCATTAGGTTGATTGTTCAGTTTCAGTATTAAAAGAAGATATTTTTTATAGAACGTTCTTTTTCACCTTCACCCAACCACAGAATGTTCAGTGCTAGTGAAGATAGCTGAGCCAACGTAATTTTGTTCCTATTCTGTGGGTCCATCAAAAGTCAATTTGCCGGTCTCCCCTATCTAGTTACTAAGTTAATATAGTGTAAAATCCATAAATAAATAAACTTTCATTATCATGACACAAACTTGAGTAAAATAACACTATAGATTAGTGCTACTTAGTAGAGGGACCAACTTATTTTATGGTGCGGGATGCTTTGCCATCCTCCCCTTTAAAGAAGACTGCGGCAAAAAACTGATTCCGTATGTCGCGACGTATAAGTTGCTCAGACCATAAACTTGCCTTTACTAACAAGTAGAAGTGTAAGTGCGTTGCGTTGCCATGAGCTTAACGGCTTATAAACGCTACCATCACTAGTCCATTTCCATCTAGCCTCATTCATAATTTTATAATTTATGATAAGCGCACCCCACGGCTAAGTCTATTTTCTCTTTATATTTTACTACAGTGACAAAACTATAACCCCCTTATAAATAAACGCGGAAGAGCTTTGACTAGTGACACCGTGTTTTGTTCCTATCACTCAAATGCCATTTGTCATTAAATGGGACAAAACATGAAGTAACAAATCCAAGCTTATTCTTCGTTTATTAATAAGGGGTTAAGAGAATAAGAGTAAACAAAATGTTCATTGAAAGCTTTCATTAAAGGCACCTGTATGAGATGCAGCAGCAGCTCCCGGCCCACCGCCTCGTTGCCGTGGATGTTGGCAACGTACTTGACGTCCGGCTTGCCGATCATGTGCTCGTACGGGGACGCAGATACCACCATCACCCAAAGATCTCGTCCTGAGAAAATATACACAAAAATAAGTGCTAATAAAACACTTGCATGTATTTTTATGTAGGTTCTAGTGGTCACCTATTGGGCGAACTTTTTAGTTCGTCTGTCAGAATAAGACTCAAATGTTTTTTTTTTCTTTTTGATGCTTATTTTATTTTAGGTAATGATTATTATGGTTCCTGTACTAAAACTGTTAATACTCCAATTAGTCATTGGCATTCCATCTACTTGTGTTTATTTTCATTGTTCGAAAAATATTAGATATAATGAGATGATTTTGTAAATTGTAATTACAGGAAGTGATTAAGCAAGTATTAAGATGGAATATGTTCCCCTGGCAAATAGTCATAAATGGATCACGCTAAAGAAAGATTTGTAATGTCGAAAAACATTAAAGGACATGCTTTGCGTTGAATACAGATCGAAATTATGTTGAAAGCAGCATGCTTGCTGTGCCAAGTCGTGCACGGGATGCAATGAAATCAACGATGCATTACATACTATGCAATCAGTCTTTCTTCCAACTAATCTGCACTTTTTACAAAACATGACAAAAAATAATGTTTCCTATATTGGTAGTACAGTGGCCAAGAAAATTATCACATATTTTATAGCTCCTGGCCGCGTCTTCGTCCGCGTTTACTTTAATTTCGCTCAACTTTCTTCATTTTTTCCCGTAAGAACCTTCTACTTAGTTTATAATACTGACTTTAAAAAAGATTATTTTTATTTACAAAGATTTACAGCAAATTACAATTAAACGCATTGTAATCAATGGTTATAATAAAAAAAGAAAAAAAATAATTTTTTTTTCAAAAATATTTCTGTAATGACTGAAATACCTTGGACAGACTTCCCAATAGAATAGAGTGCGGTCAGTGCTGGGTATTTAGCGGAAACGGCGCGCAGGTAGCGCGTGAGCTGGTCGTGATCATGATACCGGAACTCCAACTCTGCGCCTTCACGCGGCTCCGCTTCACCAATATTCGTCGACAACTCGGCTGATAATGTCAAAGAATATGGTTACAAACGTATCGGTATATTATATTGAGTAGGTACAGTAAAAAAAAATATGACTTTTAAAATAGAAACTAAAAAATAAGTAGTTATTAGCTTCGATTAATCTAAATTGGAATTAGTTAATCATTGATTTAGTTGTTGATGTAAGGTTCTAATGCACCATTGAGGTTTTATTTTAAGGTTATAACAAATCATTTGACTTTCTTCGTATAAAATAGCTTTTCAATTCAAAGAAAGAAGTACACACTAAAATCAAAGTAATCAATGATGTGAACGTTTTTATTATGTTTTTATTTTTAAGCATTGAATTTAACCGCTAGATGTTTAAACTAAAGAAACTTTTACAAAAATTTAAAACACTCAGATCAGGGTTCAGACGGGACAGAATAATAATTTACGTGTTTATTGAAAAAATACCAAATTTTTAAAGTTAATGGAAGTAAGTAAGAGTTACATTTTAAAGTAAATATAATGAATATTATTTTTAAATATTTGTAGTACAATTAAATATAAGCAATCTACTATATATATTTACATAATATAACTTACTTGCTGGATAACTGCCATCAGGAAAGGATTGACCGAAAGATGACCCCAGAAAGTATGTTAAAACAAGTATTCTTGTCAAGCCGGTTATCAGCGACTTGCTCATCTGAAAATAATCATGTTGAACCATGACCGTGAAAACCCAATTAAACAATAAGTTACTTAAGATTATTCCGTTTGCAGAAATAACGGACGTATGTGCGCAATATTCTGCGATTAATCTCGAGCGTAGGTATTCTTAATAACAAAACAGATTTGATGAGGAAACTACATCGTGGTTACGTATGTATAGGATTGGCTATTAACACTGCTTTGTTAATAATAATTTTAAAATTAAAAATACATCATATTTGTTTTTATATATGTATTAGCATTTTTTTTTGAAGTGAAACTTCTTTACGCACGCTTGACTTGGGGGGTAAGCTGGCGAATGCGTTACGCGTTGCGAAAAGTGTGTTCAGGCGAGGCGAACGGCAGTTGAGTAATTAATAATAATAATAAGAATATTTATTTGTAAAAAGATTGTACATATTGTATTCTTATAAATATATTAAAACTAAGGCCATTGTTTCACACAAAGTACATATAGACCAACACACAATATCCTCGGCCAAACTAGGAAGTTCATCCTGTATTTTGACTTCAGCGCCCTTCCCCAATTTTATATGCAATGTAGCCATACAAATAACATGAGTACCATATTTTAACTTTTCTTCATAAATTAGTTTCTGGCATTCCACCCCATGTTGTAATACCATATGTCAATATTGATTGACACAGGGCTATATAAATACGATTTAGTAAAGTCGGCTTAAGGACATGGCGCAGCAACTTAAAGTTGGCTATCAGTTTTCTCATTCTACCATACAGAACTTTAACATGTAATTTAAAGGACATGTTATTATCTACCACAATTCCGAGATATTTGATGTCAATAATATGTAACAATCATTATTGGTATCCAAATTGCAATTACTGTGAAATCGGAGCTCCAGAAGTTGTTGTTGTGATTGTGAGCTATCCGATAAGTTTTTTTTTCGCATTGTAAAATAAATACATTACGTCTTCTCCGCGTTTAGTGTCAGATTATTCAACCTTAACCAGTGCATGACACGGTCCAATCCATTTTGTGCAGCATCATAGGTCTCACCTACCGTTTCAGCTGAGAATAACAGTTCTAATTGTGTCGTCAGCATAAGATACAGTTTTTCCATATGTGAGTTTTAACTAACACTGGTCATTAATATAAATTAGGAACAAGGTTGGACCCAAGATGCTGCCCTGCGGGAAACCATGCTTTATCATTAGTTCGGAGCTTCGATATCCCATTTATTCTCGCACTGGTATCTCTCAGAAAGGTAATCGAATAACTTCAATTGATAGTCTCGAATCCCGACCCTATACAATTTTTTGAGCAGAATAGAAATGGAAACCGTATCAAATGCTTTAGCCAGATCCAAAAAAAACGCCAACACGTCTGTCGATAACAAACTCAGTTAAGTTAGTTATGCATGCTGCATAGCATCAGTAGCGACTGTTTTGTATCTGTCTGCCGTCATGAAGCCTTGATAAGGGATTAAAGGCAAAGGCCCCAATCATAATACCACACCAAAAGGACACTGATTTCCCGCCTTGCAGAACCGTTTCAATGGCCGTTCTTTACCTTTCAGAGTCTCCAGGTCTTCTCCAAACACGGACACGTCGGTTATCTGCATGAGTACTGATTCATAAAACATAATTGTCTCATTATTTGTATCTACAGAATACCTAATAGTAATCCATTTATATTTTTGAATATAGTCATTGCTGGAGATTTTAATATAGATCTTCTAAAAGAATCTCCTGCATTAGCCGAATATAATAGGATAACACAAAATTATAAATATAAAATTCATATAATAAACCCAACTAGACGTTCAGCGTGTATTGATCAAATAATAAGCAATATACCAAATGCTATAGGAGAAATTTTACCGCTTGGTTTATCAGACCACGAAACTGGCCAACTACTTTCTGTCCCCACAAATTATATGGAAATAAAACAAAAACCTTTTTTTATATATATAAGAAGGACCTTAGTAATGAAAATATGAATAAGTTCTTAAGTTGTATAAGTAGCCTCTCTTGGTCTGAAATTTACGCTGAGCAGGATACTAATAAGGCTTTTGATACGTCACGACCATGATACGCTCACTTTATATTACGATCTGTCCTTTAAACTGAAGAGAATTAAAATTCATAATAAACCTAAAAAATCGACCTGGATTTCGAAGGGCATAAAAATATCAGCCAAAACTAAACGGAAGCTTAGATTCCAATATTACAAAACTAAAGTCTATCTAGATAAGATTAAGTATTGGTGGTATAATAATCTGTTTAAGAAATGTGTGATTTCCGCTCAAAGACGCTCAAATGACATTTACATTAACAAAGCCAAAAACGTTTGCTCAGCAGCATGGAATGTTATTAAAAAGTATACTAACCAAACAAAGGCTAATTCTGACAAATATAAACTTATACATAATGACATTGAAATTGAAAATCCATCTGACATTGCTAATATATTTAATAATTATTTTATAAATTTGACTAATATAGATATAGAATGTAATACTTATAATCATAATATAAAACAAAATGATAAAAATATTTTCTTGTTCCCAACCGACGAGGAGGAAATTTTGAAGGTGATCAGATCTCTTAGAAATACATTATCTACTGGTTACGATAACATCTCAACAAGGGTAATTAAATATACTTCTTTAATTCTAGCGCCAGTATTGACATATATTACAAACTTGTCTCTTTCTCAGGGTATCTTCCCTGACAGATTAAAAGAAACTGTAATTATCTTTGTTTAAAAAAGGAGATAAAAAAAATCCAGCTAATTACAGACCAATAGCTTTGATACCTATTTTAGCGAAAATACTTGAAAAAGTCATGCATGTAGGAATAGTGAATTTTGTTACAAAACATAATATACTATGTGCTGAACAAAATAGATTTCGGAAAGGAAAATCTACTACATTGGCTGCTTTTGATATGATTAATAACATAGTAGATAATCTAAATCACAAAGTCAGTACTAAGCAATATTTTTTGATATGACTAGAGCATTCGATTTAGTGAATCATAAACTTTTATTAACGAAATGTGATAAATATGGCTTACGTGGTATAACTCTGAAATGGCTCTCAAGTTATTTAAGCAATCGCACTCAACATGTCGAAATTCATGAACTTGATGGTACTATGGAAAAAAAAAATACAAATCTGAACTACTGAAACAAAAAGAAGTCGGTGTTCCTCAAGGTAGCATTTTGGCTCCACTATTGTTTATTTTGTATATTAATGACCTTCCGTTGAGCTGTAAACACAAATGTTGTCTATTTGCCGATGATTTGTCAATTCTTGTACCTGATAATGTTGGATCAGATTACAATAGTGAAATAAATGTATGTGTTAATAATATAATTAAATGGCTTAAAGCTAATAACCTCAAAGTCAACCTTGAGAAAACTAAATATATACAGTTTTTGAACAAAAATGCTGTGAAAAAATCTCTTACTGTACAATACAATAATATAGAATTGATGGAATCGAATGAGGCTACATTCTTGGGTTTGATATTGGATAACAATTGCTCTTGGAAATCCCATATTAATCATGTTTGTGGGAAGCTGAATCGTTTTAGATACGCGCTATGGAAACTGGCAAAAGTGACTAGTTTGCAAACGGCATTGAAGGCTTATCACGGGTATGTAGCGTCTAATTTGAGATACGGCATTGTGCTATGGGAAACTCAGTAAAAATTCAAAGGGCATTTATTGCGCAGAAACAATGTATTCGTGCAATAAAGGACGTGTCTCCCGTAACTTCCTGCAACCCCTTATTTAAGGAGCTAAATCTGCTCACACTTCCTAGCATGTATATATACGAAATATGTAACTTTGTTAAACAACATCCTGAATTATATAGAAGGAAAAAAGGATGTCTGCCAATTTCGAACCCGATTTCCTGACAATCTGGTAATGCCACAGCTAAGAAAGGAGGTGTATGGTAGAAATAGTTACGCTATGTCAGTAAAAATATACAATAGTCTACCCAGTGAAATTGTAAGTTTGCCTTCAAATAGCTTTAAAACCAAATTGTTTGAATGGTTAGTCAGTAAATGTTATTATTCTGTATCGGACTACTTAAATAAATTGTAATACCTTTTTTTTATATACCTATAATTTTATTTTAATGGCTTATTATTGATATATTAATTTTATTGTTTTTATATTACCGAATTTAATTTTACGTTATTTTGAAGTATTGTATTATTTTAATATTATTTGAAATGATGGAATTTGATTTAATTGATAATATTGAATTTATTAGCTTTTGTTATTATTAAACTGTTCCAATTGATAGGCGTGCATGATATATTTCGTTATTTATGATTTTTAAATTTTAGATTGTAAGTAAAAGTTTTTATGCCAGAAATGGTAAATGTGCAGAACTTATCTGATAGTACGTATACCTTTATGTTTTTACCGCATTTGTACAAATGAATAAATAAATTATGAATAATGAATTAACTCGACCTACTTAAAAGATTCTATTTGATATTTACACTATTATATTTTATGTTGCGTATTGCAGTGCAAGTATTGTAATTATGACCCACATTTTATTGTGCTAACCATTGTTATGGAAGTTTAACAGAATTCTTATGAATGTGGTGAACACGAAAGTGGTGACTGCACTTGATCCTTCCGGTCGTCACGTCAATGTTTCGCTTTCGTTGTTCACATTCATGAGTGCGTGCGGCTTTCTTTTCGAATGGTACGGGTAAACACCACGTTTGGGCGGCGGCGGTAGCTACCGTAGCGCTCCAGTTGCGCGCGGGCAACCGGTTGCCAAGGTCACTAGGTCAGTGGACCGGCCCTCATGCCGCATCGCACCCTGGCTGCAACTTACATACTATGTAATAATCAAATCATCTATTGATCAAGTATTACGTTTCGATCGCAATCCGTGCTATATGCAATTTATGATCGAATAAAATTAAATGTTTGTGTCAAATCTTTCTACGGTTCTCAAAGTTTAAACTGATTACGATCGTAAACTGCATTTACCAAGTAAACGTCCTTCACAAACTCGTTTTACTAGGTATTCTATGTTTATACAAAGTCTTAGGCTTAGGATGGCTGATTTAAACTTAAAGGACATCGACGAAATCGGCCCTAGCATGCCCAAAAGAATGTCATTCACTATTATTTTTCTATTATTTTTTTAACTTATTAACAATTAATCATAGTAAACGGACAAGCTCTTTAAAAAAATAAAAAATAAAAGTTCTGTTACTAGATACTACAGTCTGTTCATCCAACTTGTCCTATTTGGTAACAATCTTGGCACTCCTTTTTATTGAAAATACAGAATTAAAAATCAACTGATAACTGGATTCAATAGGTTTCAGTCTATAATAACGATTTATTTTAACAGTTTATTGGCTTCGTTAATATTTTATTTTTAAATGGGTGATTTTGTTAAAAAATTGTGCATAGATTGTTTACCTTTATAAATGCAATATAGGCGACCATAGGTTATCAACATAAAAATAGAACAAGGTACCTTAGTTAATAATACTTATTACTAGTATTTATGTTATATTTATAAAAAGATTATTTCTGAAATTATGTAAAGATAGTTTATACTTCCATCCCATGTAATCTGTTTGTTTTTATGAAAATCATAATGATAACCAGGTACATACCTAATAACCGATAGTAAAATATAGAAACAGGTAAATTGAAATACTTTGAACATTTCATTTGAAAAGAAATCTATTATTATTACAGGCAGGTATAGGTGTCATAGGTGCCAACTGCCAACACTCATAAATCAATATGAATATAAGCATTTATTATTTTTATTATTAATTGCATTTTATGTTCATTTAATGCATATAATTTAAGTGCTTACATAGAGGTAACCACTAAATCTAATTAGAATATATAAAGTGTACATCTTTTACGATTAAGTGTAATAATTATAACCTCAAAATCTAATACATTCTGTAGTAGGCCACGGTTCCTCAAGTTGTCCGTATCTCAACAAATGCCTAATTAGAGTTTATGAATGATTCCGAACACAACTAGCATTTTCTCATTGCTGTGCGTTCTAGGGCATTCAATGTATGGGGAACGAGCAATGTCCTTTCCTCAATTTCCCCAAAATATATAATTGTTGTATTTATTAATAAAACCTTCATTATTTGAAGAAAGCTCTATTTATATGCATGTATATATCATTATACTTATATATTTTTTGTGAAATGTTAAATTTAAGTAGTCTGACACAAGCTTAATAGATTTATATTAACAAACCGCCATTTTTAAATACGTAATTCAATTATAATGTGAAATTAATTATTTCCGTAATATACTTACTCGTATACTTATGATACAAGTTACAAGAAACTCATGCGCTGATGACGAGGTTAAGTCTTGGTTTCATCGCATTTTAGGATTAGAAAGTGGCTTACTATAGTTTTAGTAGCATTAACGTAACGAAGAAAGGGTTTTTACGTACGGTAAAGCGAAATCTTGACCTGCGTAATGTAATGTCTAACGAAAGTTATCTAAGGTAACCGCCCAAAACATTTTGGAATTGAGAACGGGTTTTCGTAAAAGTAAAAAATCAAAATTTAAACTCACTCACTATTTACATTATATTATGTTTATATCGAGTCTATCGAAATCCATAATAATTTGACAATAGGGAAGATGCATATATAATATTTATGAAAATTTTATGTTTAATATGTTAAAAAAATGTAAAAGAAATGCCACTGCAACGTTTTTATTTTACATAATGTTGTTTTTTAACAATTATTACGAATTAAAAATACTTGAAACAGAACTTAATTTAAAACACCAATCAGCGTTTAGTGACGTCACTCCTGTTATGACAACTTCTTTGAGGTTATGGTTGTTATAGTAAAAATTATTTTATGGTAATATTTATTGCGTTTTTTTACATTTAATAAAAATGGAAGTTGCGTTTATCAAAGCAGACTCCAGGAATTTACCAAGAGTTAGCGTTGACATGGTTATAACTTTTTTTGTCCAAAGTGCAGAGTTTTTAAGTATAGAAATGAAAGGGACTAAATTACTACGGTATGTAAAAGTCGTAGTTGTTAAACTTCGTATTTTATTCAGCGGCTTCTACAAATCTTACGGCGATAATGCAATCGGCTATGTCCAAATTAAAAGAGATGGAGAATTATGTACAGTAAAAGGGCGAGTTCTCCGGAGCATAAAGTACGTAAAGAAGGTTATCGTGTTACAGTTATTTTAAATGAAACGCAAAGCTTGGTTCAGTCCTGCCAATGTGAAGATTGTGCCACACATTTTAAACTTTATCTAATTTTCGACGTCATTCTCCAACTGTAAAATTAAAAATATGTTATAGAGAGGTTTTGTAAGTATTAGGTAGGTTTACGTTTTTACATACAAGCAGATTAATTAAGCGTATAACAAGTATATTCGCCGACTTACGTCAAAGTGATCTTCTCAGCATCGAATAATGGTCTTTGGATAATAATTGTCATTTCTCTTCGCAGCTTTAAACCACCTTTTTTTCAGTTTTGGGTCAGAAGTTCCAGTCAAAAACAATTTATTTGGGAACTTTGTTGAAGTAGATTGGCACAAAACATGAGTCAACACGGCTTTTTTTAGGAATATTAGTGGTATTGTTATGATCACATGATGTTGATGGATAGTCCATTTCAAATTTTTCAAAAAAATATTTCGAAAGTCGAAAAAATATGCAAAAGTATGAAAATTTAAAGCCAGTGACGAACAAGTACGAGTGACAGACAGGAGTGACGTCATCGCAACCATAGGTTCGTTTTCGCGCGAAAATTTAAATTGTCAATTTAAAACCGCATTTTTTCCGATAAATCACAATGTTTTAATTTTTTAATATATCTGTGGTTTATTCTACATGGAATTCTTTAAAATGAAAACAAAAATAAAAGTATTGCATCTTCCCTATTGAGCACGATAAAAACGAGCCATATATCATACCGCGGCGCTTATGCTACTGCGGCAGGCTTAGAACCAGCATAGTAGGATGGACGTCGATGTGCAAACAGTGATCGGTATATTATTCGGGCATAATTTAGTTTACCAGAAAAACGAATCGTGAGAACTGGCGGAATGGCAACGGCTATAAGGCTTGCCTTCCGCTGGTTGACTTTGGCACATTGACACTATTAGCTATGTCCCGCTAATCGACGACAACTTTCGTTTTTAAAGCGCCAGCTTTGTAAGAAATACCGAATGATCCTGTGAAGTTGAAAGTATAAAAATGATTCTTTCACGCAATTTTTTACACACTGTAATGTTGATTTAAATAATTTGTTGAATACTAACATAGATAAGATAATTGTCCGTTTGCGTTTGTTGCGTATTTTCTGTTGTACTTTGCTTTAATAAACTTATTGGCTTCCTTTAATTTTGTATATTACAATATTATTCTTTGCTACCGATTTTGCTACTACGTAGAATCCTAGTGGATCTTGCGAATATTCGCATTATTATTTTGTGGAACATGAATGTTATTACAGGAAAATGTGGTCGAAATGTTTGTTGTGGTTTGTTTGTACAGTCGAAGTCACGTTATTATAGATATAGTTGTTGTTATAATTAATTTGATATTGACCCCAAGCGCCTTCGTGTAGCAAATAATTGTAAATAACGAGCAGTTTTCGTAGTGCAAGTACTTATTCATCGTAATGGTCGTGAATTATTAATTGTAAAACACAAAACAATTATTGAAATAAAATAAAATAAATGTTTAAAGTTTAAACACAGCTTTTAGTAAGAATCATGAGAAGATAATTGTGTATATTTAAAAATTATACAATTACAAGTATCTATAAACAAGTCAAAGATTCAGAATCAGTCACACAATTGTACGAAATGAATAATGAAATATGTTATAAAACGATAAGGAACGGTCATTCATAATCTACAAACAACATTGCATTCCTTACATTTTGCTCCGTGAAAGTTGCTAACGACTCTGATTTAAATATTCTTTAACCACTTACTAGTGCGCGTGTGTGATCAATTTGAACATATATGGAACAAATTTATATTGTTACTTTAATAGTTTAAATTGGTCTTCCTTTGTTAGTAGGTTGGCTCCAATTATGGAGTTATTGATAGTATTAACAATCATTGGATTGTCATTTCTCAATAATATGCTTATGAAGGTTTTTATTGTCATTCTAGATAAATTAAAATTTACATTACTTTAAAGTTATTTATATGCTTATTTCTGGGTTGAATCATTTTTGTCTTCTAATTAAATTTATATTCATTTTAAAACACTATTTTAATGATTATAACTAACTAAATAATATTGAAATGAACAGAAATTGAGATCACTAATAACTTAAATGGTTGCTTATATCAAACTCACCGTTTTAATTGAACAAATCCTTAACAAAGTTAATTATGAACTTTTCGATATCATTTATGCTAACGATTCGATCGCGAAGATTTTGTCAAATGAGGAGGATGTTCGGACAGTCCTCACGGATTCACGGACTGCAGCCGACTAGCACCGCTCGCACCCAACACGTCGCCGTCATCTGCGTCATACGCCTCGATACACGAACAGAAAGTGCTTTCTCTCAACGATCAACCTCAAAAACTCACCTTAAACGAACACCACCAAGGTTCATATACAGCTTACTGAGATAGTTTACCACGGAGAATTCAGAGAAAATCTAAATTTCCACCGTGTTTCCCTTCATTACGATTGGTTTTCCTGGAACGCTTGAAAGGGGTCCCGAGCCGTGACGTAGTGTTCCCGCCTTCTTCAGATCTTACGTAGTTACTTTTCCCGCGTATAGAATTACTTTGGTGACTACCCGATATTCGATATTATCGTCTGGTGTTAACAGAGAAAACTTAAAGTGAAACTAAATAATGACAACAACAAAGTTAGAACACAGGGCAATTACCCCAGAGCAGTGTCATAATAACATGATTTCGATTTCGGCTTTGTATCAAAATTTTAAACTTTACTTTCCTTTTACGACCACTTAGTTATTATTGTGGTTGACATAATGCCGTTCCCAAGTAGAACGGGCATTTACCGACTTTTATGTTGCTACAATTTGCAATCACTAAGTACAGTTTTTCCTCTATGTACCATCCGGCTGATTATATTTAGACTAAGTACATCAAATAATAATATTGCTGTGTCAGTAAGTAAAAATATATATTTGTAAATACATATATCGACTTCAAAATATTCCTATATTTAAAGGAAATAATTAGAAAATTTAATGATCCTTACAAAAAACAAGTTAAATTTTTTAATAAAATTGTTTTTCAGACTATCTATTATCTTTTTGATAATTTGATGATTCATTTAACTATGGGTCAAAAGAAATATATTTATAAAATTATATTTTAGCTTTAAAAAAATAATGATAATAGAACAATAATAATCTGCTGGCTGGCATCTAAAACATTTCAATATTTCATTTTGACGTTTAACATTTTTTAAACTTTTACAGTTTTAATTCTTGTTTATTTATTCATCAAGTCTTACCCCGCCCCGATGAAACTTGTCTGTTACATTAATGAAAAGACAGAGATTTTAAACATCCCCATAAAAAAGATAACTTCAAATTCAAATTTGAGAAATAATAGACACACACTTCAAATAGATACACTTACCTCATTGGATGAAAAATATACACTACATAATGTGCAATCCAACAAATAATTACAAACATATTAGACTACAGGCCCATGGTAAAAATTGATGGGTCATTTGAACCACCAGAAGACTTATTTAGAAGGACATTAAATAATAAGATTCAGCACTATCCCGTCACTTGTAAGCTGTCCAACTAATTGTAGGTGAGAATTCAAAAGTACAGATAGAAGGTGTACATTTTGGTCATATATTTTTTGTACGGCATTCTTACCATCGATATATCCATGAAAAATAATAAGAAAACACGTAGTGCCGTACAAAAATAGTGCACCACAAAGTCTTGAAAATTTTTGATTTTCCGATTATTTTCAGGGTAAATTTGGTCATTTGATTCTGTACGCAATCGGTATCGTACAGTTTTAATACCTCTCCTAATTCACTATTTCGCAATGCCGTACAAAAACCATGCGACAAGGGGGAAAAATCGAGGATTGCAACTCCCTTCCCTTCCATGGTTCGGGGGGTGATTTGAAAAAGTACGGTTCCAAAACATTATGCAGCACTCAAAAGTACTTTTAAAAATAATGCCGTCAAAAAAATATTGTTCGTCAAAAAACTTGTTGTTATATGACACTGCCTTGAGGCACACCATAAGTCTCCACAAATGTGCTCTCCAATCTGCACTCTTTAAGTCCTTAGAGATAAATAGCTAGTGAAAAGCTCACGAGCCTAAAGCCATTACATGTTGTTATGAGATAAAAGTAGTTCCGATGTCAACTTTAAGTAATGAATTGACTTGAGAGAACTCACAAAGTACAAGCATTAACTACTATGTTTTTAACTATATAGTAGTGTCGATTCTAGAGTGATTCTCTAAACTTAAAACACTTACTAACTTAACATCAGTCTCTTCTTTTCATTCTGTATAGAGAATGGTAAGGATGCACTGTTGTCAAATTTAAATTTAGCTTTAGAGAATCATGCCAAAATCAACATCAGTACTTATAATTTAAATGTTTTTTAAAGCATGTAACTGCTTGATGTTTAAACTATTACGAGAAAATATTCTTCGACTCGTTCTTCTAAAATTCTTCGTCGAGTTCCCGCACCCTTCGAAATCCGGGCGAATGCACTGACCAATTATGCTACCGCGGCCCTGAAGGCCGCGTCTAAAATTCTTCTAGCCATTCTTAAGCTGCAAGGCAGTGCCACCTCTTCGCTTTATATGTAACCCACATATAGTACTTCTCAGTGCAAGTATCACATAACTGGACTGGAGTTGGAGTAGCTTTTCCGACTTTCTAAAGTTGTTGAATGTTAATCGCTATTGTATCCTTAAACTTTATAAAGGAGTTAAATGTTTAGCTTTGTTAATTTGAAATTTCAGAAAAGGTATTCGCCTTTACTAAAAACGTCTGTCCTCACCTCGTATTTATTGAATACTATAACTCGTATTGTAAAGATTCTTTGTTGGATAAATAACTTTCAACTTAACCCTCCCTTCCAGCACTTTTATTATGAGACAAGCCGTGGTGCGCGGTCATCGGGAGACCTCTCAAATAAAATTCTTATCATTTGATTTTTATATGTAACTAGAACGATCAACAAAATGTGACCCGCCTGATGGTAAGCAGCTGACATAACCTATAGACTTTTGCGATACCATACAGCTCAAACGGTCGATCGCGATCGACTGCTAATGTATAAATAATATGCTACGGTACACCCTACCTAAGTAAGTAGGTGGGGTGAATCGTGTATGTACGACAACCCTGCATCACACATACTTGCAGCCTCTCAGAGTCGATCGTAAGTAGTCTAAAAATTTTGATACAGTATCACTCACTAGTTGCCTACCTCAATACCATGGAGCCCTGGAAACTTACCATTACCATCAAAAACGCAACCCCACCCGAAGTTACTGTTTTTTCAGGTCTTGTTTTTATAAACGAGTCGCAATAAATTACCGCAACCGACCCGATGTAAAGTGTAAGACGAGCTCGTTGGAGTCCAGTCGCAAAATAGATAATACGGCAGAAGGTGTGCCACTCCAGCCATTCTCACCTTGCCGGCCTGAACCCAATCCCCTTCCCCTCGGAGCCCTGGAATCCTACTCACCAGCAAGAACACAACACCACCAAAAGGTAGTGTTATTTTACTTTGGTCTTCTGTAAGGTGGGGGTTGCTACCACAGATGGGTGCGCCAATTCGTTTACGTTATTTACTGAAACTGATTTATCTTGAGTACCGTGTACCGAGTCTTATAGTACATCACTAGTTACAAATGTCAAAACAGCCCTATTATTTTGTGATGGATCACTGAAGTATGCCCTATTATGTTGGACCGGTTTTAAGTGCTGAGTTTTGATGCTATGTTATATAAGCCGTTTCAAGTTTGCATGTGTTATAAGTTGAAGCTCTTTCAGCTCAAATCTTTTAAAAAGAAAGATCAATAATTTTCGGTGGATAGTTCGATACGGATACCAAAGTTTCTTTCAAAGCCTGCACGTGTATATACAGTATAAATACAAATAGTGTTATTTACATTAATTGTAACTAGACATTTACATCTTAAATATCAAAGTAGTTAGGGCAGATTCATCTCCGCTGGCAGCACCCGTTCACGAGCATGACGCATGAACCAGCCATCGCTTCGCTCAACCATATTTTAGGGAACTTAACGACCCGACTCACACGGCAGCACCGAAGTGACTTAAGAGAGCATGACTACCCATAACCACCAATATTAACCACAACATATTTACTTAAATAAAATTAATTTATCTGTAGGACACTGCAAACAATTACAAAAGCAAAAACAATGCAAAAATCATAACCACGCCGATTTGTCATTCAAATGTTCTGAAATAGTCTGATATTTTTCCTTAAGTAATCAACTTTATATACAGCTTTTAAATTTAATAAAAGTATCGTCGTCACATAATGTATATCATATAGAAGTACCCGTTGGAATGGTTGGAACAGTTTAAACCTAAGCATTTTTGTCCGTAATATAATCAGACACTTTATAATAAGATTTCCAACTGATTTTTTAATGTTCGATTTAAATTTAGTCAGGCTTTACTCTTGAATATTGCTTCGAACTTTATTGTAAAAGCGAACACAGAGACCTCTAAATGAATTATTAATTTTGTGGAGCCTAGTAGCAGGTAAAGTTAACTTATTTTTACTTCTAGTATTAAGTGTATGATTTTAGTAAAAAAACATTTTTTTTTTGACAAATTCTAAGTTTTCATATACGTATTGTGATGCAACCGTCATTATGCCTATTTCTATAAACTTATCTCTTAAGGAGTCCTTAACTTTAAGATTATAAATTGATCGATTAGCCCGCTTCTGCAACACTAAATACTTAGTTCGAATGTCAGCGGCATTTCCCCATAGTAAAATACCGTGAGACATTACACTATGAAAATAACTAAAGTAGACTAATCTGGCAGTTTCTATTTCCGTTAACTGACGTATTTTCATTACAGCATATGCTGCAGAACTAAGTCTCTTCGACAATTATCAATATTTGGGCCCCATTGCAACTTTGAATCTAGTGTGATTCCCTGAGAACACTGTGGTATCTACAAAGCTCATATTTCGATCCTTTATATTGCCATTGGTATTAACCTGTTTGACATTAGGTAATACAAATTTCAAACACTTAGTTTTCCCTTCATTTAGCAGTAAATTATTAACGTAAACCAGTGGCCTACCTTAGAAATAGACTTGTTCACTTGGTCATCTGCAACCACTATTTCATGGTTATCCTTTACAAAATAGGGCAAATCATTAATATAAATTAAAAATAAGAAAGGACCAAGGATTGAGTCGTGCGGAACGACCATCTTAACCGACGAACCAGGAGATTTTTCTCCGTTGATGTCAACCCTCTGAACCCTATC